TACTCTGAGAGAAAAAAAATGCTCTATTTTCGACACGTTTTGATTATACTTCAACTACTATCATAATAATAAATTTATGATAAGATTTATTTTTCTATTATATATGTTGGTAATACTAATGTTTATTTAGCGGATATTTTTATTGTATAAATTTTGATAGAAACAAGATAGCAAGCTGTGATTTTCATTGTTGGAAAGAAGAGATGAAGATATATCGTATTGTATATTATAAATTGTTTTAGCACGATTCTTTTTGAGGTTTTCAATTGATCTCTTCGAAAACAAACCTACTCATGAAGTCTTTACAGCTAATTGCCAATTGTGAGGTGTGTATTGAAAACACCCCATGAAAGATCTACAAAACTGCACAAGGCTCATAAGTTTAGAATTAACTACTCAGACGTTATGAATATTTTAGTCACAGCTTTAAGTGAGTTTTCCGGCAATTTCTGTGAAAAATTTTTTTTGTTTCCTTTTTGATGAAAAACCATTTTTCTGATACTTAGGAAATTGATTAAACAAAGACTAGACAATGTACTAGGAAAACGTATAATACATTATCAAATAGCATAGAAATATAAAGCATTTTTTTTTCTATCAGAACATACGGAGAGAAAGATTCCTAAAACTTTTTATAAGGAATTTATAGTATGTTTGCCATTACTCTTGAATTGCCCTAAGTATATATTGAATTCAAGTTTTGTTGGATTCTATCAACATATATTCCTACTGGAATAAATCTTAAAAAAGAAACATGATATAATAAGAAATCGGTTTTCACTTCAAACTTTGAAGAAAGTTCAATCTACATAATAATCTTCGTTCTTTGTATTATTTTCATTATTCAATGATTATTTTATCAACACTGGTTAATTTCAATTCAATTTCTCTGTATTAAACATCTGATTAATTTATTTTAAATATATAATTCTCGATAATTTAATTATGAATTTGATTCTTCCTTGAAGTTTTTCTTTTGTTGTTAATCAAGCTATTTCATAAAGAGAGTAAAATAAGTAGAGCACGTTTCTCTATGAAAGAAAACAAAATCTAATTCCAGAAATAATTTCATTATCAATATTTTACGCATGCAAAATCTATGGTTTATTTAGCATCGAGATAAATTATTGATTATCGTTTCATGGAGTGGCTCGTTTTTATTACTAGTTGATGTTTCGTGCCAGTTCCTAGTGTTCATCTGTGAAGATGTGTCTGCTTTGTATTTATGTATCATCAAACAGATGTATTCATACATTTGAGACGTCATTTTCTCCATGAATTGATATATATATCTATGAGATTATTTTTATCAGACTATCATGAAGAATGAGCTTCAAGTGAACTTATTGATGATAGTTTGATGTAATGAAAATTATTAATCAATTTTAACTGCTTATCTGTAATAAAATTTCGCATTTATATTGTTATGGTCGAATTTCATTAAATCTCTACCCTCAATAGAAAACTAAGAATTTTCTATTGTGTTTTATTTGTTTTTATAATTTATACTTAAAAGAATTTATTGAAAAAAATCAAAACGATTTTGAGGTTTAGGGAGAATTTTTGAAGGTTTTAAAAGCCGCCAAAACTAGGCATATTTTGATTTAAATATTCTTATTAAAGTTCTTATCTCATGAGAAATTAATGAATAACTTAAGAGAAGTTTTCTATTGGAACAGATTTACGCATAAAATCGATGAAACTTCTTCTATATTTTACACTAATTATGATAAGAATTTGTTGAAGAAGATCAATGGTATCTTACATTAGCACAGTTTTAACTGATTATATTCAGTTTATAACACGAAAGTATCAAATTTGCGTTCTTTAGAACAGTCTATTATCCCTAAGTAAACATTTTTTTCTTCATTGTGATGATGACAACGATTCAACACAAATCTCTTAAAGTACATTAGGTACACTTTTGTTGTGTCGCTTCTTGTGAGTAATGTATTTACTTGTGAAAGTATTATTAATAACGCATACTACTTAAAACATCACACTTACATCCATTTATACATTTTTTTTTGACTTGATAATACTCATCTATTTTCATTATTTATTTGAATGTTGACATAGATCATTTGCATTACAGAAAATATAGATTAGAAATAAAGAATAACATTTATTTAATCAAAAGAAACTGACAAAGAGTTAATTCTTAATTACACTACTAAGAAGTCATTTATCTGTTCATTACCTAAGGATGATATTTTCTTTATTTCCATTTCAACTAGTAAACTGAAGATTCACATATTTATTTTTAACCATTCTTTTTATGTTCTGTAAATTATTTCATCATATAAGCATAGTGAAAGATTAACTTATCTGGCAACATGTTGCTACAAACTTACTTAAATAACATCATAGAATAAAATGGAAGCATCTTACTCCTAAAGACAATCATAGATGTCTTTCTATAATGTTGACTCTTATTATTATTATTATTAGCAAATTAAAGCGAAATTTCGTTTCTTATTTTCAATATGTTTATAAGAAATAACTTCTTTTTTTTTGTCAGAACATTTGCAAGTATTGAACGAAATCGGCTTTTTTTTTACATTTATATGAAAATTGTTTTTTTAAAAAGAGCCGAAAGATTTCTTTTTGATTATTATCCACTTGTCTTCTTTATTATTGATCCGCCCATTTTTTTATGTCGGTACAATGTTTATTCATAAATGCAAATCGTATTATTATTGTACTTAATTATTATGTAAATGGCTTGCTATTCTTATGATGAAAAGTGGTCAGATATAGATATATATTTTAGAATATATATTCCTCGATTTTTTTCTTCACTCCGATCTTTTGTAGTACAAATGATATTCGAATGTTTATGCAATAATGGCATATATAACAACGAATATTAATATTATATTAAAACAATTTATGTTTTGATTGATATTGTAATATGTGTAAGATATTCGTAAATTGATATGAATTTTCAAGCAAAAACAAAATTCTTGAAACAGTGAAGTTTTCTGATAATATCACAAAACGAAATGGTTCGTGATTAAAGTATTAGATAAGTTAGTAGATAAATAAATCATCAATTCAAATTAGTTGCTAAATATGATATGACAAAAAAAAATAAAGAAATTGTGTCAACATCATACATTTTATAGACAACGGTTGATATGACTTCAAGCTGTCCTATGTTGTCATATTTTCAATTCATGAATGACTAAAATATATGTTTTGCACCCAATATCAAGGCAACTGACATTAACAATCGAATTATTTTGTAGATCGATGTTATATTCAGATACTTATTGATGAACTAGAGACAACAATGGTAGTTCAATATTAACTCTGAACTGTGAGGTTATGGATGATTCTACAAGCAAGAACTACTTCAATAGAAAACTGTCCATAAACGTTTGAATCGTTTCTTAATTTATTCACTAATAATTATATTAATTAAAGTGTCATTGATCTCTGGCAGTTCATCAATAAGCATTCGGATACAATATTGATTTACAAACTAGTTCGAGTTTTAAGATCAGTTTTCTCGTCAATCCGATATTGGATGTTAACATATGTATTAATATTCTTGGAATGATTCTAACCTATAATTTCATGTTACTTGATAAATATTGTTCGAGTCCCTATGAGACACATATTGGAAAATAGAATCGATCAATTATTATAAAAAATGATTAATGAAAAATGGAGAATAGCATTTATCAATTAATATTTCATATACTTCTCCAATTCATATTCATTATTTTAATAAAAAGTTCTTAAAATTTTAGCTTGATTTATTTTTTCATATATTCTTCACGAAATAATGCATTTTATTGATAGGCAAACAACGGATCTGATTACATGATAATGCATAAATCTAACAATATATATATATATATACTGGAATCTATTTTTTCGGATCTATTATATGCATTATAATATATCTTATATGAAAGCAGTTCTATGACATTCTTACTTAAATTCATCTAACATTTGAAACAAATTTTGATTGATTTCTTTTCAATTTTGTTAATGTAAATCTTCTATTAACAGGTGTTTTCATACAAAAAAAACCTATCATAAATCAACTGTCGATCGTACAAAGGCGGCTTCGTCGACTGTGAAGAATACCAGAATTCTGTAGCCATTCCGGAAAGAATATCCATAATAAAGAGGAATATAATTTCTTTACAAAAAAAAAAAAAAACATATTCAAAACACGTAAAGTTAGTCTGATTATTTTCGCATCGGAAATCAATTGTATATTATGCACGATTACATTCCAATATAATATCTACAATCAATTGATTAGAATTCTATTTCTATGCACTTTGATGCATCAAAAATAAGAATTCGTATATTTGATTATGGATAATTAAAAAAAAGAATCTAGATAAATGTATATGTAGATACTGATATATACACAGTAAAAAACAATAAATAATTATGTTCAGCAATCAATTGTTTGACTATTATCATTGAATAAGTTGTGCGTAAATCATTACTTGTTTTTTCGATCGTAATTGAATTAGACTAAAGAGAACGGCTACTAGCACGTCGAGAAATATATACAAATAGAAGACAGCTATAGAAAGGAAGGAATAGGAGAAATCTAATCGTTCGACTATGCAGCATAACATTCATTCTTCGTTTCAGTTTTCTCTCTGAGGATGAAGCGAGTGTCAACATATTGTTTTGTGAGACTGACGGCTTGCTCTCGAGAAACAACAGCTCAACATCGAGAGATAGATAGATGAGGAAAAAGCCGAGAATATTAAACTGATTTTCATTTCATGCACCATCCTCTCTTGTTCTCTCTCTCCCTCCTTCCATCCTATTCTTCTTTTTTTTTTTTGCTTTCGATGATTTATAGATAATCAATGATGATTAGGAAAAAGGAAAAATACATATATACATATTGAACAAAGTCAATTTTAACTATAAACTAATGTCATGAATCGTTACATATGTTCATTTAATAATTATGTACATGCAAAATTGGATAGTAATTAAAGATTTTTTTATATCTAATGCCTTATTCTTGGTCTCGTTGTATTGTAAGTCATCAATGTATTCCTATAAATAAATAATACGTTTCTTTTCTCTTTCTTTTACTATCTTTCTTTTTGTTACTTCATATTTTCTTTCTTTATCTAGTATCGCTGTTGTTGTTGTCAGTGTTATACAAATATTGGCGCGACGGAGAACGGTGTTAATAATACAGGTGGAAATAAATCTACCAGTGGACAATGGGATATTTATTTAGATTCTCAATATGATACATTGACAGGATCTCTTATCATTGCATCAGAAGAAAGTGATACATGTTTTGAATATATCCATCGATCATTTCATATACTCAGTATCAGTAGTAAGGATTTCGATTTTGTTTTTTTTTTCTTCTATTTAATCAAACAAATTAATCGATTTTTTTGAATCTATTTAGCTCCTATTATCCTTGTCGAAGCAATATTGGTGATAATCTTCAGTTTAATGTTTATATTTGGTTCGTATAATTGTATTTTTCTTTTGTTCTAATTAATATCATTTTTATACATGCAGGATGTAAATATTCAAATGATTGTCCAATACAACCATTACTTATTATTTATCATCTTATTGGCGGTGGTGTTGGTTCTCTTTTTTGGTTATGGTTAATGTTACGAGCATTACGCCGTAAGCGACAAGAGTCTGGTCTTGAAGATGATGATGATGATACTGATTATGATGCACATTTAGAAGAGGGTTCTAGTGGTCAAAGACTTAAAGATAATGGAATATGGTTTATGGAATTGTTAGCTTTTATTTTTCTTCTTGTTTCTTTTTTAATGGGAAATTATTGGACATGGTCCATTTTTTGGCCAGCACAAGATATGACTGAAACTCAACCGATTGATTGGTGTAATCATTCTTTGTATATATTTACGTTAGTTTCAATTGGAATTATTTATCTGTTGGCTATATTTGTTATATTATTCATAGTTTCATTCATTATTTTTGCAAGATATTGTGCTCGCGTATTGATTAATGAATAAATAAATTAAAAAAAATAAATAATATTATTATATAAAATACTTTAAAGTACCTAATATTTATCAATTGGTAAAAGGAGAATAATATTATCTCGATGTTTTGTTTTTATAATAATATTTGAATATTAACTAGACAAAAAAAGATGAACAAATATTTTGTTCTCTCCAAGAATATATGTGAAATGTCTTTTGAGATTTGAAAATATTTTTTGAATTATTGATTATATTTAATGTACGAACGTTCAAGCAAATCGTGACATGAATGAGAATTTGTGTGTTAAAACAAAAGAATCCTGTTGAAAAATAATATGAGCTTCCTAAGGCTTGATTATTGAAGAACAAAAGGCAAAGAAATTTATTACATTCATAGAGAGTATATGTTGACGCAGTTTACATGTCTCAATTGATTAAAGTATAATCATATAAATTGAAGACATAAAATTGGAAATAAACAGTTAGAAATAGATAGCGAAGATCTTCGAAACTTTATCTTATAATATTTGCTGAGATTTATTTCTAGAAAATATTCATGGAATAATTTTTCAACTCACTCTTATTGCACACTGATTTCGAGAGTCGAAGAATGTTCAAATCCAATAAAACTAATAGTTTTGAAGTGTCGTCAAATCATAATTGGTTTTCTTATTAATGGTTAAGAGAAAAAATAATTGGTTTTATTTGTCTTTACATTAACTTGATGATAAATGGAAAAAAATTTTGTAAAGAATAGCAATAAGAGTTTTCCCACGTTGATATAATTTATATGTTAAATAGAATCAATCATTGGAAAATTTTATTTTGTATTCCTACAGCAGACGTTCTATCGGTAACATCATAGCCGCTGTTTCCTTTCTTGAAAAGTATTCAACCATGTGATATTAAATGGCACATGGTGAAATACCTATTATAGGAAAACCTTTTATTTTGATGAAAGGCTTTTCTTTCTCAATGAAAAAAAAACCTAATTGAAATCTGTTTTTGCTCTCTGAGGATTGTCATATAGCTACAATTTGTACAGATGGAGCCACAATACAATTGATAACTTCATTAAAATAAAAAAAAATTTTAATTTGTTTATCTGTTTGTTTTATTCTTTATTTTAAAATGAATAATTTATTCATATAACATCGAAACTAATGAAATACTTTTCTTCAACAATGGTAACTCATGATACCGGATAGGTACTCCATAATATACCATGTATTCTTCCAAAATCTTGTTGAAGTAATTTATAAACAAGACAGTCAATTTTTTTTCGTATCCTAAAACGAACATCATATTTATTTTATTTAATTGGTTATTTATTTCAGATCTCGTTTAATTAAGTCTATCGAGACATCATGAAGTAAGCCACAAACAATATCTTTTTTTTCTCTCATATTAATCAATTTTTCTTTAGACTCGAAATTTGCAATTATAGTGGATATAAAATCTATCCTGGCCATGGCAAACGTGTTGTTAAAGTTGATGGCAAAGTTTGTTTGAATATTGTCATGATTTCTTTGTCAAAAAAAAAAACAAAACATCAATTTTATTCTTTAGGTACATATCTATTTAAATTCAAAATGTCAACGATCGGCTGATATGCGTCGAAATCCTCGTCGTGTTACATGGACTGTTTATTATCGTCGTAAACATAAGAAAGGTGCTGCCGAACAAGAAGTTAAAAAACGTACTCGACGTAATATTAAATTTCAACGAGCTATTACTGGTGTTACCTGGAACGAGATTCTTGCTAAACGTAACCAACAACCAGAATTTCGAAAGGCTCAACGACAGGATGCCATTAAGTATGATTCGATAGATGTCTTTTAGTTTTTAAAATTCAGTTGTTTTTTGTGTATTTAAATAGTGCTGCTAAACAAGCTAAAAAGGCAAAAGCTCAACAAAAGAAAGTTGTACAATCAGCTGTTGTCAAAGTACATTTCAAAAAAAGATAATATTATTTATTACTAATTTCGTTTTATTTTCTAGAGTGCTAAACAAGTGAAGAAACCAGAAAGGATTCAAAAAAATATACCAAAGGCTGGCCCAAAGAAGGGCACGCAACGATAAACCAACTACAACTATATATATATGTTGCCGCCCGTTTTTTTGCTTTGTTTTAGCAAACGTTGCGCGCATTCATTTACCGTGTCTCTGTATATCCCATCTAGTTTTTCTTCTTCGTCATCATTCAACAAGATGAAATAAACAGAGAAAAAAGAAGAATATCAATTAAACACTTATATTGATACAAAAAAAAGAAAAATAAATTTATCCAAAATTTCGATTGATAATTACTCATACTAGATCAGTTTTATTTTTTACAGCAAAACAAAAGAGTCGAATTAATGTCTGCACTAGAATTAAATAACGTGAAAGGTAATTTCAATAAATCGACAATTGTCGCAGCTAGTGTTCTACACTTACAGTCGACCGGGACCCACATTTTTAAACTTGTATTTGAAACCAACCTGACGAGCTCTACCTGTAGTTTTCAACAATCGAAAGAAGAGAATTTCAGACAACTTTTTGTCTGATAGTTCATAGAACAAATTTATATTAGAAACCGTCATCTTCACAAAACGTACATGAAGATGATGTTCCGTCTTTACCATTTTCATTCAGTTTTTTGAATATTTTTCAAAGATGATGACTTCTAAAATAATTTTGTCTACAATAGTATCAGACAGTAAAACAAACGTTTGAAACTCTTTTTATTCGATTGTCGAAACCTACAAGTCACTAGCTGTTACCGTTGTCGAGTAATTGAACATATACCTACTCCTCTTGGATTCTAATATAGACATTAGAATCATTATATTAGCATTTCAAGAAAATGAAGAGAAAAGAATGTTGATTTTGTTTAATGATTTATTCAATTGTTGACCATCATGTATATCAATTGTTAGAAATTTAAACGAATTGGTAGATATACGCAGAATATTACGTATCGATTTCGTTCTTTAACTAATCTATAGAATGATTGAAGATTTATTGTGAGAATTCACTTTTTAAAAGCCACCGATCGTTACAAATGAATTGTGGGCTAAGTATATTCAAATCATATGAAATGTTTAGCCCTATATCACGAAGATTTCACGAGATATTCAACAAACAAGAGTCAAAGACGACTGATTTGGTAACTCAAAGTTCTTTATGGGTCTTCATTCTATATACTTAATTTTCTTTTCATTGCAGAGCATGACAGAACCTTTTTGTTAATATTACTTTTTTTTTGAGAGAAGATAAATTCAATACTTCAAAAAATGAACTCTGGCATATCTTGAATCTTGGCATGTTCTCTCAGACGAAAAAAAACCATTGACTACAATGAAGTTTCTTCTAGAATTCTGGAATGCACGATTAAAAAAACCATATTTTTCAAGCAGAAAATGACGAAAGCTTTTTGTAAAAAAAAAAAACGAAATTTCAAATAAAAAAATGCTTCTTACTGTCGAAAGTCAAGATTTATTCATGGAAAATGTAACATTGGAATAAAATGAAGATCGATAGGAATAGTACTGTAATCGAAGCAGAACTAATCTCGATTTGTGCACATACCAATGTAATAGTTTTATTTTGAACCATTTGTGCTTTATTAATAATGATGCTAATAATGTCAGTACGAAAGACAAAACGACAGTATCTTCATTAATGAATTGTTAATAACAAAAAGATATACAATGAACATGGTTTTTATTATAGAAGAATTAACATATGCAGTTTTTTTTTTTGAAAATGTTTGAATGAATCTTATCTTCAAAATGCATGAACATTTGATTTCATGCTTGATCCGAACTATAAACATTTAGTTTGAACACCGAAAGGAACATGATTCTTCAAAGATCGGATTAACCCTTCCGAAATAGAAAAACTGAATAAAACACTTCATTTAGCACATCAATAAAAAAAAATTATATTTTAATATCTTTTAATTAATAGATTGAATTGGACCACACATATTTAGATTTCAATAGTTTTTGATATTTTTCAATGTTTATAATGAAATAAATAAATCGGTATATGTATAATAAAGTGTCTCTATGCTGTTTATTATTTATCTCTTTTTTTTTTTGGATGTAAATAAAGAACAAGAAAAAGAAAACTGTCTACGGCAAATACACACTGAATGATTGAAATGGGAGTAAAAAAAAGAGATAGAGTCTCTATTGATTTGGAACTATTTTTAACCAGGTAAAACAGCATCTTGCCGTTGATCATGTTTCTTTTGTTCTTCAGCTCTTTCAGCCCCTTTCTTAGCTAAATATTCTGGTGACCATGAACCATATGGACCTGTATATTTTTTAATATCTTCTGCTGATACTGTTATTTCCTTTTTAATTATTTCTTTGACTTGTTTTTCAATAGCAACTTCAACTTGAGGTTCTAATAAATAGCAAAAAAAAAAAACAAAATAGAAAATTTATACTGAAAATAAAATAATCATCTACCTTTAAAACTAAGTTTCGGTACTGAAAGAAGATCTTCTGATTCAGCACCATAAGCATGTTTTAATTTATTAAGTGTATCTTCAAGACTTTTTCGCACTTCAGGTGTAGCATCCACAAGACCATCTTTCGTTTGTCTAGAAATCGAAAAGATATCAAACAAATACTATATTTAGTTTATAATTTATTAGAATAACAGACTTTCGTTTTTCATTATATTCACGAATTTTATTGATAAACAATTGTTGAATTGGATCTGTAGCTTGTTGTTTAGGTTGCTGTGCAAGGTTTGTACTTAATGATAAATGACGAGCAACAATCAAACCATATGAATTACGTAATTGTGAAGAAACACACCGATTCAACATGATAGGATTTCTAAAAAAAGTATAAGTTTCGTGATTGAGATAAAATTTAAACGAAAAGCAAATTGTTTTGTTTATTGTTGGCATTAGTAAATAATTTCTTGTTTCTTCGTTTTTTTTTTTTGGAACAAACCAATAGAAATTTTCTTTTCAAAGAGGCCACTAGATACGTATGCATTTGATCATTGCAATCAAATTATATATGAATCAACATCTTTTTTCTTTATTCACTGTTAATTTCAAGTTTTGTTTGCAGAACTTCCGACATGAGATCTTTCTTCAATAGTTACGATAAAAAATAATGTGAGAAATGAGTTATTTTATTGCAACGATCATTCATATTCGAGACAATTGAAACGGAAACTAAAAGAAATAATTAACGCATGAATAAAAATACATGTAAAAGAATATATTGTCACAATCGTGAAACGATATTAATAGCGGTCATAATAACGGGCAACTCATAAAGAATGAGACTCTTTTCTTGTGTTGAGTAGTGCAAAAACAGTTCAGAAACTTCGCTCTTAACTCATTCAATAAAGAAATGTTCATTCTACCAAACCAAATTAGTTATAAATTAAGATATTTACTTTGTTTTACAAAAAACATGAAAAATAGAGATTGAGAAATCAATGGTCTACATATGGATTACAATATTCAAAGAATCAGATGCAATCAAGAGGAATAAAGTCAGAACTATCATAATATCCATACGCTGGATCACGATGAGCAACAAGTCACCCAAAATTGTTAATTTTTAAGCATATATGTATCGCAAATTCATCAATTTAATATCCTAATAGCTGCTTCTTTTCCTTGAAAGCAATACGTTTGAAAACAAATACAGGTCAAAATAATTGCATCATGTCTCAAGATCAAACATGAAAACAATAATTAAAAATGATTTCAGTTTCAAATCATATGTAAAATATGTTGTTTCAAAACTAACAAAAGCATACAAGCAAAAAAAGATTCTCGTTTGACATATGAGCCGGAAAAATCTCATAAAATCTTTCTACAGGAAATATTTGTGTTCTGATGAAAAATTATTTAATTTCAATGGATTATACAACTGTGAAAATGACAGGATATGAACAGCAAGTTGATAAAAATGAAGAAATTCATCGGAAAGCAAGGGGAAGTACGACCAGACACTGATCATCAAACTTAAATATGGTGCGAAACATCATTTATGGTTTTTTTTTGACTGATATCACAATGATCGCCTAACCACCCTAATCTTAATTCTCTCTATTATTCAATTGGAGACAAAGTAACCAATAAAAACGTTAGTTGACCGAATCCATGCTGATGTAAAAAAATTCGACTTGATATCGTTCGTCGTAGTATATTGGCTGTTGAACTAAAAATGTTTATCGTATGTTACCGAACTATTGTAAATGTATTTTTAAGATTAAATAAACGATTTTTTAGAGTAACAAGTTTTCTATCGAATGACATATAATGAAGTCTTTGAATAAGTATGTCTTCGCTAATTAAAACAAGAAGATAAAAGTGTTTCATTCTTTCTTTATAAGGTAACCGTCATCATTGGATACTTCGATTTAAGATAGGTTGAAAAAAAACAAGAAAAACAAAAGTTTTATTTATATCTGGTTTGAATGTTCGACAAATAATAGAATTAACATATCATTAACATGTATTTGTATATTACCATGAGCGATACAAGGTCAATATTCTAAGAGACACAATCAATTTTTAGATGGATTTATTTTGTCTCTTCTCTCTCAATAATGGACAGTATAACGGTTTTATTTCAATCATTCGATGTCTATTTTACTCAATAATATGCATTTCTGATATATGAAGCATGAAAGAGATTAGAGAAAATAGCAAACCCCGAGAACCCGATAATCTAAACATGAGAAGAAAGGAAGTAATTAATAGACTAATTGAAGATACATCGTTATGGTAGAAGGAAGAAAGAGACTAGTAGCGATGAGAAGATGTTAGCACATCATGCATAAATAATCATTAAAGCCAAGGAGCGAAAGCAGACAACAATACATTAAAAAAATAAACCGAGTAAGTCATAAACAGTGCGTTGGCAAACTCTTTGTCGTTTGAATTCCATTTTTCTCAAAGGTATGATATTTGAAGTCTTGAGTATTGTATTACGTGCTCGTGTGTCACGAGCTTCAAATTAGTGTGACACTTTTTATTGAAAAAAAAAAATATTTACTCAAAACATTTTGGGAAAAGCTCAATTTTTTTTTTGTTATTATCTTCCATTGAGGGATGACTGTGCTCTTGCTCTCAGATTGTTTAAGTATTTATTATTAGTAGTTAATTGATCTTTTTTTCTTTAATTTCGAAACATTGGGAAAATTTGTTTCTTTTTCAGATATTATAATTTTTAATTTAAACATATAAATAGTAAATTTTATTAAAAATAAAACAAAAACAAACTACGAATCTCGAATAGGAAAAACCCTTGTATTGGGAACAAATAGCAAAGAAGATTAATCATTGGATTTTGTTCATACGATGTTGATTAATCGGACTTCATTTATTTTAATCAAATGCATTAAATTTCATATAGTTACTTTCAGAAAGATGAAAACCGATTTAAGATCATGCTATTGATCTTCATCCAGCAGTGAAATTTTAGGATCGTTTATTGTGGTAGCAGAGAGTTCAAAAGTAACTAAAATCGTGAGAATATGAGTCAGTCTCTTTATATGAACTAGTGAGTCCTATGGATTTTAAATATATATATATATAGCATTGCGTATGCTTATTCTAGTACAAACAAGAGGCATGGAAAACTTGAAGAAGCAATCGCTATCCCTTGTAATACTGGTATGCTGCCAATTAAGAGTATAAAGTTTCAATCGGTATGTTTGATAAAACAATGTGATTTAATCGAAGAAAATAATTCTGAATTAGATTTGAATTTTAACAGAAGTAGTTGTTTGCTTTCTTCACTATGATTGTTTTTTATCGGATATAAGTTGCTTATATGAATGAAGTTAAAAACTGAAAATTTTTTTTTTTTGTTTCGTGTCAAATTATCCTTTATATCAAAAGTAATATTTATTATTAAACTATCATTCTAATACGGTATAATAATATACAACTTTCGTATTAAAAGAATCAAAAGTGTAACAGCTGGTTATATAGGTAAATTATCGTAAAAAAGTTTCAAAATGTGTAATGTATTTTGAATTATTCATGAAACTCGCTTCTCTTCATTATGTTTTCTACTTAAATTAATATTGTATATATTCTCTTTCATAATTAAGTGTACAACCCCGTCAAAATATATTTCAATTTACATCATCAATAGTTCATATTAGAACAAATAAAAGCTCTAGTATTTATTTCCTCTGTGTCTAATGAGCTCTATTTTAATTAGTATATATTCATTGTAAAATAGTTTTTTTTCTCTCATTGTTCACAACTCCTATCAATTAGATTTTCAATAAAGATTCTCTCTTGCTGTTTCTTCCTATTTTTTTTTCTGTTAACCAATAGAAACCGAACAAGAATGTATGCTAGTAGATTGAATATGACCTTGCCTTATGTCGTTACTTTATCCAATGGAATAAGAGTATTACTGCATATTGATAGCGTTCTGAAAGAACGGAAAATTTTTCTTTTCCGACTATAAAACAAACTCATCTTTCTTCGTTAAACGGGAAAAGAAATAAAGAATTTTTTTCTAAGCGTGTTTCCTTTTTGTTTTCTCGTCCATAAGAAAAAAAAATGTTCTAGAATATATTTGCGTTTTTAAGAATAAATTATTCACTTACTACTCATCTTCGAATGATTAATATTAAAAATAAATATTAATTCAATGGAAAAGAAACACTATACAAGAGAACAAATAGCTCAACGAATAATTGATCATGGTGATTTACTTGTTATCTATTATAATAAAATCTATCGACTTAATTCATGGATAAAATATCATCCAGGTGGTGAAATGGCTATTTTACATATGATCGGAAAGGTAAGATTTAAATAAAATAAATGTAAGAACAAAAATTAGGACTCAGAAACTAAAACACATAATTTTTAGGATGCAACTGATGAGATAAATGCTTATCATCCAGATCATATTTTACGTAATAAATTACCATTATTTTATTTTGGAGATGTTCATACACAAGATTGTAATGAATATAAATCACTTAATTTACCAATTCAATTTTATAATCATAAAAATGATTTAAATAATAATCGTCTTTTAACATCTGAACTTTTATTATCGATTAATAATAAAACAATGATACAAAATCCTAATGAACATAAACATATCATTGAAGAATATAGAAAACTTTGTTATAAACTTCGTTTTCTTGGTAAAAAAAATTCTTTCTTTTTTTTTTTTTTTTTTTTTTTTTTTAATTTTAAAATTTCTATAATTATTATTTTGAATAGGCTTATTTCAATGTAATTATTATGATTATACTCGAGAATGTTTACGTTATTTATTTCTCGCATTTTTTGCTTTATATTTTTTTATTAATGCAACAAAATCATGGCATTATTATATATCAGCTATATTTCTTGGTGCTTTTTGGCATCAATTAACATTTACAGCACATGATGCTGGTCATTTAGCTATAACACATTCATATCGTATTGATTCATATATTGGAATATTTGTTGCTAACATATTAGGTGGAATATCACTTGGATGGTGGAAACATCATCATAATATTCATCATCTTGTTACAAATTCACCTGAACATGATCCAGGTATAAATAAAAAAAAGCTTGATATGAAATCTTAACACGCATAAGAAACCCTTAAAATTGTAAGATTATTTGATTAAAACTGACAGAAAAGCAAAAAGAAACATTTTGCATATTTGAGTCAGTAGATTATCAAAAGATAAAAAAAGAGATAATCCATGTTTTACCTGACATATTGTAATTTCATTGTTGAATCAATTAAGAATACAAACATGCATTTAACTATTAAGAATGATTATAAGCAGTATTTATTCTAGTAACTTATACGTTTACAACGAGAGAATAGACTACTATCCAATTTTTTTTTTGTTATATGAACTAATGATGAAAGTGCTTTTGAATATTGGATTGGTATTGTTAACAAACATCAATAGTTTTCAATTGCATTACCTACGTTAATGTCGATCATCATCGTATGTATGAAATGAGCTATGAATGTCGCAGAGAGTCTGCACTTTCAGGGTAGTCGTTAAATGAAAACTCTGTTCCAGAAAAATTGGTTTTTAAATTTCGACTAGAAACATTGCAGAGAGATAGGTCTTAGCGAGAATAGTTTCTTGTGAGTGTTTCAGATCTTGTTGCTCTTCCTATTCTAAGATACAATTATGAAAATAGTGTGTCTTGTAAAGGATGTCCTAGAAGTTCTGTTACAATTTTTTGAAATTCATCATTCTCGCATTCAACAAAAGCAAACTTCTTGAAACTTTGGCAGATTATTGTACATATCAAGTACTACATAACTACAAAGTTTGAGTTCTATAGCTTTTACTATGGATGAGAATCAGTCAGAACATTGTTATGTACTATTTTTTCAATTTTCTTGGCCATCTCGATTATTATTACAAAAAATACAAACAATAGAAATAAAAAGGAACGAACAACAATAGGTATCGATATTCGCGTTATTGATTGATATAATGAAACGCTAAATTTATTACATTCCTTGTTAATGTTGTTTTCCAAATATTGAATATCAATATTCTTGCCACTGTGACTTCTCTTTTGATGTTGTTGAGTAAGTTTTAATTCATCGAATTGAATCGAAAAGTTGTTCTGCTAATTAGCTGATCTGTGGCCTATCGAAAACGTTCGGGGTGCATCAGAAGAGAAGTCACAGTGGCAAGAATACTAATATTGAATATTTGGAAACAACATTAAAAAGGAATGTAATAAATTTAGCGTTTCATTATGTCAATCACTGACACATAAAATATCAGCATGATTGAAGTTAGTAATTCATCAAGGTGTTAGTCAATGACGCGAATATCGATACCTATTGTTGTTCGTTCCTTTTTATTTTTATTGTTTGTATTTTTTGTAATAATAATCGAGATGACCAAGAAAATTGAAAAATTAGTACATAACATTGTTCTGTCTGATTCTCATCCATAGCAAAAGCTATAGAACTCAAACTTTGTAGTTATGTAGTACTTGATATGTACAATAATCTGCCAGAGTTTCAAGAAGTTTGCTTTTGTTGAATGCGAGAAGGATGAATTTCAAAATTGTAACAGAACTTTTGAGACATCCCTTATAAACCAATAGATTCGATATTCTCATTTCGGAATAGAAGCAAATTAAACGGTTTGAAATTATTCTCGTTAAAGCCTGTCTCTATGTAAAAATTCAATACGAAATTGGAAAATTAGTTTTTCCTGTTACCACGATATTTATCCAAAAAATGTATTGTCTCCGTAACAATAAGCTATAGGCTCAAATTCTTTTTAGAGTATTCATAGCTATTTTCGATTTGCAGAATAAATATAGTCTCTACTTAAAAAAGGTTGAACTGTTGTAGAACTTCTCTCATTAGATCATATTATATCATCTTCTACATTTCTAAATATTTATTTCAGACATTCAACATTTACCATTTTTTGCTGTAACACCACGTTTTTTTCAATCACTTTATTCAACATATCATAAACGTATACTTTCCTATACATGGCTTGCATCATGTATTATTCAATTTCAACATTTAACTTATTATTTAATAATGTGTTTTGCTCGTTTTAATTTACAATTACAATCATATATTTATCTTTATAAATATACAAATTCACCATATCGTTATATTGAAATATTATCAATATTAATCTATTGGTATTGGTTTATATTTTTATTATCATTAATTCCAACTTATATACAACGTTTTATTTATATGTTCTTATGTTATATGATAACAATGCCCTTGCATGTACAAATAACATTATCACATTTTGGTATGTCAACAGAAGATTATGGACCATGTGAATCATTTCCAGCTAAAATGCTTCGTACAACAATGGATATAGCATGTCCAACATGGTTAGATTTTTTTCATGGTGGTTTACAATATCAAGCTGTTCATCATTTATTTCCACGTATGCCAAGACATAAATTAAGAGAAGCAAGTTACTTTGTTAAACAATTTGCTGATGAAGTTGGTCTTACTTATCATGTATATGGTTTTGTTCATGGTAATAGAAAAGTATTAGATGCATTAAAAAATGTTGCTATGCAAGTTAAGCTTATGCGAGATGTTGCAATGACAAATAATATTTATTATCATCATTAATGGAAAATGTTTTTGTTTTCTTTGACATTTATTTTTAAGTTAACGATGTTGTGTTTATCTTACAAATGTATCTGATAATAACATAAATCAGATCTTTGTTTCGTTGTATGTGTGGTTAGATATAAGAAAGAATATAGATTGAAAATATGACATCTTAAATCTTGTGTAATATTTTGAAAAGTATAGATACACATAGAAAAAAAATGTGTAGAAGATATTCGGATACTATCTTGTAAGACTTTGTTTGCCTATTATCCAAAGATGAAGATTATTTTGTGCAGTTTTAATGAATACTGACTGGAGACCTGCATTACAGTCATTTTTAGCATCAGACGAAGCTCTCTAAATTCTCTAAAAGTAAATTAAATACAGTATTACAAGTCTTTTTTGAATGGTGAGTTTGTATTATTGGTATACACTGGTGTATTCTGACGGCTCGATTCACGTCGCCTTAGGGCTTTACAAAGATGAGGAAAAGTCGGAGTCAAGGTTGACTTCGACTTCTTCTCATGGGTGTAACCCTTGAAGAGATGCTAATTGAATTTTGAAAACATATTAATTTATGCAGTGAATATCAAAGAGTAAAACTTATGGTTGAAAAAAATTCTTATGTTCAATTTGATTTATTAGTAAGACATTTAGTTGACTTCAATGCCAATCTGTTCTCCTGATGTTTCAAATCATTGTAAAGAAAAAACGATATTATTCTTTTATCTACAGGCAACAATCTGCTAGATTGAATTATTTTAAAATTGTATATGATGAGTTCTTTTTTCAATTAGTTTATTTATGACAATGCTGATTAAATTAAACAATGACATTAATTTAGTCGAAAGAAAATTGATTTTGAGATTCTCAACCAGTGAAATGAAGATAATTTATAATACACAAAACAATAAAAAACGCTCAAGTTCATCAATAAGAGATAATACTGATATGAAAAATATTTAAAAATAAAAATTAACGACAAGACAATACGTTTATTTACGTGGATAAGTGTGGACTGTACATGTAAATATCAATCTGTTTACTACACGTACTCGTACATTTCACCCTTGACAGAGTTACTTAATAACATCTGGAACATTTTTGACATTTTTTTGGAGTATTTTATTCCTCGCCATTTTTTCCTTCGGCCAAATTGATAAATGTCAGATTAAATTAATTCAGTCAATACAGCTAGTGAATAATAGTAAAATTGATTATATTCAGTTAACTTCAATGAATCTTTTAGAATCATAAATGGAATAAATTATGTTGATTTTGAATGAAGGAGACTCAAACTCTCAGTAGAGATAGATAATTCAAGAGACGATTGTAAATATTCATCATTGATTGCATACAAATGGATTGTATATAACATTTTGTATGTTTTCTGAATTTTTCACTTATTATTATAGAAGAAAAAGAAGTACATCTTTTTTAAGTCGTTTACATATAATAATATACATTTATATTCTTCAAAATTGATGAGAAAAATGATTTTCAGATACATCATTTTTAATATGAAAGAATCAGAAATATATGAAACTTGAAAGGCAGTATTCGAAACCGGAAAATCTCTGAACTTTCTCGATGATTTTCGACCAACTTCCTATCCTTTTCAGCGCGAAACATTCAGAAAATCTACTGTAGAAAAAAAAAGGGTAAACTTTTCGACCCGGAATATTAATTTCAAGTTTCATTCATTCTTGTGATATTCTTGTCAAATATGATGATTTTCTTGCATATTTTCAGTCAGTTGCAATTAAATCTGTTTGTTTGTATGAATTCGAAATTATCGAACTGGAAAGAAATGCAAGACAATTTTTTCTGCCGATAAAGGGCGACATCTGTTTTATTTTTCATTCAACGCAATTGAAGTCATATTTCCTCTTTTATAGTTTTGATTCAAACTTAAATTTTTATACTTGTAAAATAATATTCTTATCTTATAATCTCATTCAATTTGTTCATCTTGTTCAACCATTGATGAACTTATGATTGACTAATTCTAGAAAGAAACCTTTATCCAGTACGGTGGTCAAATTCACTGCTGTATTTGTAATACCTAGCGTATTAACACACAAGGAAAATACAAAGAATATTTCTACTGTTTTTGTTATAGACTTCAGTTTACATGTCTGTCAAAAAATACAGAGTGTATGTAGTACGTTTCGGTGATGACATTGACATTTTGATTGGGAAGCCTTGAATGCTATATATAGTATGATATGAAAGATTACATTTATATGATAGTAACACTATTCTATAAATTCAATCATTAATTTATGTTCTGTTATATAAATTCATGTTTATTTTCTTTTCTCATTTTTTTTTTTTTATTTAAAAATACTGAATAATGAATTAGTATCTGTATTTATTGTTTATCCGTTATCTAACTACGATTAATATATGTGATCAAAGGAAAAATACGTACATTATTTTTTTTTTCTGTGTTTACATTGTGATAACCTATCGCTGATAACAAAGTATTTGCTCGCACACTTTGTTAGCAAAAGTAGAGTGTATAAAACAAATACATTGTTTTCAATTCTCATGAGAAATATTGATTAGGTCATTCTACAGGAAATTGTACTTTAATAAAGAATCATCAGTGTTAATTATTATGTCAGTTGAAATATAGCTGTCTGAATAATAATATCGTCAATTGATCCATCATCGAATACGAAATTGAGTTATGCCATACTTTTTATGATTTCGAATCGATAATACATATCCTTCAATAAAAGTAAGAGAATAGTAATTCGATAATAAAAATTATTACATTAGATAAGATTATCTTTCTCTTTTTTTGTTTTTATTAAACTTTGATTAATGATAATTTTTAAATAAGATACTACTGTTCAAAACCAGAATAAGTTTTTCGTAAAAAATTTAAAACATAAATTTTGTTATTTATACTATCTAATTGTTATAAAACTAATGATGAACATATATGATATCTAAATATAGACTTCTTATGAAGTGTTAAATTCTAGCTAATCTTCATGCTTCATTTGAATTTTTATTGAAGAAAGATTATATAATTTATCTTTTTCGTTTAAGATTACTAATACGTTTAATGGAAGAAGAACAAGTTAGACAAGATATTCTCGAAGCAAAAGCACAACTTGAAGTAAAAATTATATAATAATAATAATAATATTTATAGAACAAAAAAGAAAGACTCATTTTTATATAGATACCGGATACACATTCATCTTCATCGACTAATCCATTCTCTCATTTTCGTTATCGTATTGTTCCTAATCTAGAATTAAATGGATTTGATAAACCTTTATTTGCTTCATCATATATTCATCCTGAATGTGATGAAATTATTAATTGTGCTTTAACTACAAATGGTTAATAAAAATTTTATTTTTATTTTTTATTTTTTTTGAAATATTTTATTTAGATTTTGAAATGTTTGAACAAGTATTATGGTTTATTAAAGATGAAAATGATCAATATACAAAACGAGCATTGATTATAAAATATATGCGAGTGTGTTAGTTTGATTAATTGAAAGTTTAATAGAAATTTCTTGATGTCCGTTTTCTTTTGTCTTAAGGTTGTTGTTTAACAGATGAAGCTGTAAATAGTTCTGTTGATCATCTTCTTGAATATCTTCATCAAGATGTAAGTTTACAAGAATCATTTGTTTCAAATAACAAAAAAAAAACAATTCATAGATTGAAAGTACATGGCAATATGATATTGGACTTCTATTTGATATTTTACATAATGCTGGTGTTAATGTTGAAAAACTTATTGCTCTATTAGAAGATGTAAAAATAACAGAATTATTAAATGAGTAAATAATTACAAAACAAAATAAAAAAAAAGCAATAATTTCTTTGTATTTAAATCTTTTTATTTTTCATGTTAGTGTACAATTAAAATCAAAACTTAATTATGATGATCAAACAAAAACTAAAGCATCAACAAATCAAATAATAAATTCTATAAAACGTGTCTTTCGAATTATTTTATCTCTTGGATATTTTCAAGTAGAAAAGTAAAAGAAAATATATTTAAAAGAAAAAAAAACAATATCTTTTTTTTTGTTTTTATTATTAGATTAAATGCAACATTATCAAATGACAATTATTTATTTTTATTTTTACTTGGATTTTATCTTCAACTTGATAAACGTTTTCTAGATTTAGATATTATTCATATGGCACGACGTTTAATGGTCAATGCACTTACTTTATTAACACCAACATATTGGAATGAAAAAGTTAGTCATTTTAAAAATCACTTTTAATACATAAGACAACTCTTTGAATTTGACAAGAGAAGATCCTCAAATGTCTATAGAGTAAAGTTTGTTGAATCATAATTTGAAAGTTTCTTATCCGTATGAGACAGTTACCTTGAAGATACGAAATTGTTTTGAAAAAACGTTTTCGATTGGTACCTAGGATTGCAATTGTCATTCTTTGGGTGCATAATCGTCTATCAGTAAAGTGACTCTAATTCCTTCAAAGTCTTATGAAAATAAGATTGACTATATATATTATTCGACGCGCCAGGTTGCTGATAGTATAACCTGTAATCTTATGATAATTGAAACGGCTAATCTATGCAATAGGAATTGAATTAAAGTGATCATTGGACTTCAATCGAGAGATACCTGCTGCGAAAAGTGTTTTTCGATCGAAAACTCTTAAGCTAGATCTGACTGTGTCCTAAATACATGTGTAATCAGTCTGAATAGAATTCACATGGAGAAATTTTATAGTATCTTATTCATTCCTACTTGCTCTTCATTGATATGAATAACATAAACTAGATTCATTGGAAAAAAAAACTTTGCATTAGAATATAGAAGAAGAGTTTTTTTTTTAGTCTAGAACAGGTTACAGATTACGAAAATGTCGTGCTCTGATGTCCTCTATTCTAAAACATAGTATATTTGATTTCTCAATGCTGAATAGATCATGTAATTCAAGAGAATCCTTTCTAATATCATTCGTATTTTAAATCGAAATTAAAATATTTCTTTTAGCGTGATTTACTTGTTGAATGTCTATATACTTTATCATCAAAAAATGTTTATATTGTTGAATTATTCTTAAAAACCAATGAACGTACTGTTCGTATTCGTACACAACTTGCATTATTACATTTGAAAAGATTAGTTAATATGATTGAACATGAGAAAAAAAGTGAAGTAGGAAACACAACAATAAAAAATAAAAAGATCTTTTATTTCTTAAATGTTGATTTCATATTTAAAAGGCAATGATTATTGATGAAATAATTAAAGATAAACTTAATCCACGTTTATTTGAAAAACAAATTGATTTTATTGATTGTGTACGATTACTTGGAGATATTATTGATAGTTATCCATATAGTCAACAAATAGTAAAATTTTTAATTATAAGTTATGATTTTATATAAAAGAAAAAAGATGAAATTATTTTAGGAATATTTATCAAAACTTTATGATGAAATTCTACCATATTCAAGAGCAGATCATGAAAAATTATTAACACATGAAGTATAAAAATTAATGTTTTAGTTTTAATTAAAATATTTTTCTTTTATTTTATCTAGCAACATTTAATTCTTTTTGATGATTGTCAACGATGGGCAACAATGCTTAGATCATATTCAAATGAGAACGATTTTCAAAAACGTCTTAAACGAAAATAAACTTTCTTTTTCTTTGACTACAAACATATAATGAATAGATAAGAAAATATCAAATAATGATCATATTTCAGATATAAAATACAACAAAAAAAACAAACCACGGCCAAATTATGAAAGGTCTGGTTGCATTAATCACCGGTGGTGCGTCAGGTTTAGGTCTTGCTTGTGCTAAAAGATTTACAAAACAAGGTGCACAAGTTATTATTTGTGATTTACCTACATCGAAAGGACAAGAAATTGTTGCAAATTGGGATACAATATCAAATACTTCAACTCAAGCACTTGATGAAAATGCCAATAAATTGGCTGCTTCAGAAAATGTAATCTATAGCGAGAAAATATTGACACAAAATATTCACTCATTTTTCGATCCTTTAAAGATACCTAGTGAAAGAACGTGAAGCAGTTAGTTCGAATCGAACACTTTCGAGAAGCATACTCTTGTCTTTCGATATAGGATGTTGTCTGGTAGCAGATCTAGTAGCTTGATATCTTCCCTATAACTAATACTAGCTGTTGCTTTGAGCAGAAGATCTACCTGATTCGGAATTCTTACGATCAATAGCTTGAGTTCATTACAAACACAAACTAACCACATACTAATATTTGCGATAGAATGAAGATCTAAAAATATGTTTGGAAATATCGAAGAACTCTGCTTCTCTAGCTCTAACGAAAATTGAGCGAATATTTCGTGCCATAGGTTATAATCTTTATCTAATAAGTATGAATTAATTTCAATTTTTTTTCGGATGTTTTTATTTTGTTTAGTTGCGTCAAGATGAACAAGCTCGTAAACTAGATTTTAGCACATTCAATACAGAGGATACTGCATCACTAAACCCAAATATTCAAATACAACCACCAATGTTCTTTCCAGCTGATGTTACTAATGAACAACAAATACAAGAAATGTTTAATAAAGTAAAACAAAAATATAATCGTCTTGATGCTGTTCTTAATTGTGCTGGTATTGGTGTTGCTTTTCGAACTTATAATATAAATAAAGTAAGAAGAAAGCAATATAAAGCTTTGATATGATTTAAAATTTAAGATCTTATAACATAGTTTCTATTGTAAAAAAAGAAAAGTTTAAGACGACTTTTTTCTTTCCACGAACAAATAGATCTTCATAAGTAGATCATAATTTGTCATAAATGTAAAATTTCTGTAGATGCTTCTGTCAGTTTTCAAGAAAATTATTTTATGTTATATATCATTCAACGTGATTTTATATGTTGATTCTGAAACTTTATTTCTTTCTATTTAGCGTTCAATGCACGGTCTTGAAGAATTTAAACGTGTTCTTAATGTAAATGCTGCAGGTACATTCAATGTGATACGTTGGGCTTGTCATGTTATGGCTGATAATAAACCTGGTTCTCAAGGTGAACGTGGAGTTATTATTAATACAGCATCTGTTGCTGCTTATGACGGTCAGATTGGACAAGTTGCATATGCAGCATCAAAAGGTGCAATTGTATCTATGACATTACCATTAGCACGAGACTTATCAAATATGGGTGTTCGTGTTTGTGCTATAGCACCGGGCGTTTTTCATACACCAATGCTTGCTGCTTTACCTACAAAAGTTCGAACATTATTGGGTAATATGGTTCCATTTCCAGCACGACTTGGAAATTCTGATGATTATGCACATTTAGCACAAGCTATTATTGAAAATCCTTATCTTAATGGTGAAGTTATTCGATTAGATGGAGCACTTCGTATGCCACCTTAATGATTAGTTGAATAGACAAAGAACTTAGCCTTTTTTTTTTGGCCGTCTTTCCATTTGTTCGAGCAGTTTTCTTTATTGACAGTTTCTATCTTTTTTTTGTATTGATGTTGAATGAAGAAAAAAAACAATGCCGAAAACTTTCAGATGAAAGGACAATAAAACTAAAATTCTAGATGAAAGAACTTGTTACATTAATTACTGGTGGTTTATCAGGTCTCGGTCTTGCTTGTGTAAAGAGATTTGTACATAAGCTACATGCACATGTTATCATATGTGATTTACCATCAGCATCTTCATCATCTATTCCTGGTTCATCATTATTTCTACCAACTGATGTTACATCTGAATTGGATGTAAAAAATGTTTTTGATCGTATTCGAATAGATTTCGGTCACTTAGATGTGCTTATTAATTGTGCTGGTATTATTCTTTCTCAACTAATTTTTGAACATTCACTTGAAGATTTTAATCGTATAATTGATGTTAATACTAATGGAACATATAATATGATTCAGCAAATGATTCCATTAATGATAAATAATGGAGTAATTATAAATACGTCATCTGTAGCTGCATTTGAAGGACGACGTGGACAAACAGCTTACGCTGCATCAAAAGGAGCTATTGCAGAAATGACTCGACCATTAGCAAAAGCATTAGCACCGATGAATATTCGCGTATGTTCTATAGTTCCTGGTGCCTTCGATACACCACTATTGTGTAGATTACGTGCAAAAGTTCCTAATACACCAGGAAATTTTCCACTCTTTCCTGCTCGACTTAGTGATCCAGATGAATTCGCACAATTTGCTCAAGCAATTGTAGAAAATCCTTTATTGAATGGTATTAATATTCGACTTGATGCTCTTCTTCGTATGCCACCTTAGTTATTATCTTATTACTTTGCACTTATAGTAAGGTACAAAAGTATTTGCCTCCAAAATTTCAACTGTTTCTCACATTGAATAGGATGAATATGGAAATCAATCATATTCACAAATAAGGCACAGCACAACAGACACAACTAGCACAATTAGTATTTGATTCTCTTTTCCTAAGAATTCATCAAAGTATATCATCGTGATTTTATAACATGATTTAGAATGATCAAGTTCATTTTGTAGTATTTCTCATGTAAAAATAGATTCAGTTCATGTAGACTTGATGGGTGTCGCTCCTGAATACGACATGAGAGGGTTGAGCAGAGATTCTCAATTGGATTCATGCTGTAAGTGTTTGAGATTTGTATATGGAACTTCTGTCTTGCTCCAATCCATACGATAGACAGAATTACCTTCTAGAATTGTGGATCAAGTGACTTGCAACGATTTAAACTAGTAATGATCGATGATATCATCCTGAATGGATATTAGCTGACCAAGGTTATGACACTTAAGTCATCCTATACTATGATTTTTCTTTCTGTTCTTCGGAACTTGCTTGACCTCAACTCTTGAATTCTTTGGCTATCGATAAATTATCTTTCTGAATAATTTCTGGAAGATTCTGTCAATGAACATTATTCGACTTCAATCTTCGCCTTTGTATTAAATTGACCCCTTGACACTCGCATCTTTCAACTTCCGCATAGTGCTAAGCATTCCCTCAATCAATCTATTTCAGTCAGCGCTGTATCTTCCACGAAGATACATGTCCACTTCGGTTGTCAAACAGTTTTGTATCGAATAAACATCCCGAAGACTTTATACTCAATGACAGCAATATTGCGAGGTCGATCATAATGGCACCTGCCATAAAGTGTACCATGTTTTCTTTTATCTATGCGATATTATATTTGATAGTCCAAAGAATGATCTCTATCACATAAGCAATTATGATAAGAGATCGATCGCTTTTCTTCCTGTACTGTAACATAGTTTATCACTTCACTTTCAGCGAAGTAGGATTTTGTTGTTCAGGCATTTGCACTTACAGCACAAATGTTTACGATGTTTCTCGGTTTGTATAGTTACATATAGATCTTCTCTCATCTTCGACAGAGTTTTCACGAAACTTGTCACAAAGCTTTCAGAAAAGTTGCTTATGCGATGACAAGGACTTCTGAACCTTATTGTATATTCGTACTTTGCTTTTTTCTATTCGTAAAATGAATTTTATAAAATATTACGATCATAATCGTGCAATCACATGTTAACATTTTATTTATTTGTTTACTTGATTTTCTGTTGTTTATTTTTTGTTCTTACTAGCATACTTCATTTATTTTTAAACATATTATATATAGCGATAAAGTAAAATAATGTACTGCATCTTATAATAGTTTCACTGTGAACAATGAACAATGGTTAATACTAAAGTCTATATTAAAAAAACAATGATGCTTTGCTTTCTACAATGCAGTGTGAGCACTAAGCGAATTTTCTCTGTTATTTGTTATGTTTGTATTTGTCTTAGCATAAATTTTTTCACAGTTATGCTCTGCAATTCGATTTGATATCCAATACTCGATTCGGACATCAATAAAATCACGACTTTTCAAAATATTTTTACCTTTTGCAACTTCTAATCTTTAAAAGAGCATAGTCATGAAAATCGGTGCAATTATGACTCAGCAATTTATTGTACTAGAAGAACAGGTCACAAAGTGGAAAGCGATATTGTGTTATGAGAATTTATTCGTAATGGTATTCATCAAGAGATGATGATGAATCATATGACAAAGTAATTAAGTGCATGGAGAGGAAAATCAGCTATAAAAAATGTGAACGTGTATTATCATGATTAGAAAAAAAAAATCATGGATCCATATACAATTATGGCCAATAGTGTGTTCCGGTCCGCCAGAATCAACAACAACTAATTTTTATAGAATTTGATATGATTCTTTTGTTTTGTTGCTATTTATGGAAGAAACTAAACATTATACTGTTTCATGTTAATAAGTTTAAAAACTTTAGTGAAGGTATCTGCCAAATATCGATTAGCTTAGAACTAGGTCTGGGTGCAAAAAATCGTCCCCGTGAAGGACACTAGCTCACAGTTTATATTTATTCAGTACTTTATCATCAAGACTAATCAGCATAATAAAATAAGATCAAGGCTGTTTTTTCTATGTAAAATTAAAAAAGATTCGATTCTAAATTGTTTCATGGCTGTTTTATCATCCATCTTGATGTGCATAATAGAACATCCTTTTTCCTCTTCTGATATATGTTTTCATGTTTTTCGTTTTCTTATTAGTTTATTTATCAACATGTAGATTCTTTTCATAATTACATGGGTAAGTTTCTCGTTACTATTGTTATCAATCTCGTATCCATTTTGAACAGAAATAAACAGTAATGTTCATTTTAACATTGATATAGCATATGGAATTTATCTATATTATAACCAACCATAATGATAAACTTACAAGTTTTCTTCATGATGATACAGATGTGAACGTGAATTGTAGAAAGGAAAACGTCATCTGTTTTACCGGTACAGCTTTTATGATTTAAATGTTATTTTGTGTTCAAGATAAATATATCATGAGATGCAGCAGATTTCCTACTCTCTTACTATATATCATATGTTAAAAAAATAAATGTCGTATGCTAATCAGAACGAAAAAAAGGATGGAAACTAATTGACCTCTATTGTTTCATTGATCTTTATTTTAAAAATATAATATGAATTATTATCATCATTTAACAGCAATAGAAAATGCAAATCGTTACTGAAATGAGAAAATAATGATTTCTGCATGCTAAATTGTTATGTTATTTTTTTTCTGTAGTTGATTTTGTAAATATTCAAAATAATAATTTGAGATTTATATTTAATCAAGAACATATAAATTGAATGAGAAGAATAAATAGATTAAGTTCGATATATGTAAGTATGCTTGATGTATTTATTCTAAAGAGAAAAGTTTTGTTTATCTGAGAACTTTCACATTGCAGTTTTTCTATTTTTTTTTCAAATATTTTTCAATCTGTTTTCGCATTATTTCCTAGATTAATTAATTATAAATTGAATGATTGATATCACATAAATTTAATTGTATATAGGAAATAAATATTTCTTCACGTATAACTGACTTTCGAAAAAAAACATATTAAGAAAGTTACATGTGTATTGCAAGATGATAATGTCTTGAGTTTTTTCATGTTTATTAAACTTGTTATCTTCAAATATGGAAACGCCAAAAAAAAAAAATAATAAGAGCAAATATTATTTCAAAACAACCTTTAATTTTGTCGATTGTAAAAGAAAACGTAGGTTGAAGGAAAACAAATATTACATGCTGATAAGTGTGTTATCAGTAAATGATCAAATTAAGTTGATTTAATAATTGTGAATAAATACAGTTACTTCTACGTCAGACTTGAAGTTAATGATTATTAAACATTTAATGGAGATTTGTAGTTTACTAAAAATGTCTGACTTGAAATATATCAATGTAAAATATCCAACACTTCTGTAGGGATACATTTGCAATCGTCATCCTTACAATCACTGAATCCAAGAAACCTCTTATGACCACCAATATAGTCAATAAACATGCCAGAATCTGTAACGAAAGCAGTTTTTTTTTCTGTATGATTCAGATGAATTTTTATTAAGAGAACTCAATGGTGCCAAAAATATAAACACGACTTTCATCGTTTCCTTATGATTACATATCTTGATTTGATGTACCGATTCACTCTAAATTCGTATTAACAATGAAAAAAAGCATTGACGACTAATAACTGTCATTGTTAAGTTTCTATTTTCAACTTTGCTGTCTATTGATATTTTTTATATTCAAGAAATTCTTTTTGTTTTTACTAATTTCAAAATATTTAAGTTATCGAAAACTATAGACTATAATTGTACATTGGTATAACGTAAGAAATTAAGAAGTATCTTTTATATTTTAAATTAGTATCTATTCAAAGTAAACAAGTGAAACTTCATCATATTTTTTTAATGCAAAGAAGGATTTGTAAATTAACAAAAAGAATTTATTCAATCGTAGTAGAACAATTAATAATTCTTGCATTAATATGCTAAAATGTTTTCTATTTTAAAATTCTTATTCTAAATTAATTCATTAAATTTATACTAGTCATATTATAGGAAGCGTTTAGTATGTGTACTTCGTTTTAAATAAATAAATAGTATAATGCAATGAATAATTAATATCTTTTGTCAATCGAAAAAAAAATCTCTCCGAGAAATTATTCATTCATCATCAAGTTTATCAAAATATAGGATATAGAGAGAAAAAAAACTAGAGCTTTCAAAAATATTGGTTCAATCAGGTGAGAAAACTTTATTTTCATCTACTAACGGTGAAACAAGCTTGTACAACACATTATCTGAGAACCTCTGAAAACACTTCTAAATGGTCTAATCACGACTACCGTTTAAGCATTTTTACGTTCATTTAGAATATATCAAAAGTAGTTACGATTATCATTAAAAACGCTAAAAAAAAACAGGCAACTTTTGCATTTGAAAACCATCCAAAAAGTTTTTGCACAATACTTTTGACATATACATATATATATAACACATAAAAAAAGTTGCACGCTTTCCAAATGCAACAATTATCTTTCTCAACGGACGTGAAACTGAGATTAAGTCGTTTAAACACGTATATCAAAAACTTCTGTCTGCTTGTGTAATCCAATCTATGAAAACATTACAAACCACAACGTATAATTAAGATTATTAACTTTTTTGGTATTGTTACTAAGAATAGATATCAGACTCGTTTGCAATCGATATAAATATTTTATTTTATGTGTCATTTGATGAGACCCAAAAAGTAATCGCTTCTCATGAAGTGTTACTAACCCCTGTTGCAAAAGTCTTGAGACAAAATGTTTGTTCAGTTTTGGATCACTTAGAATTAGTTTGAGAAAATGGAAAGTAGTCAGCTAGAATCAGAATTTGATGCTCTCTCTAAACATGTATTCAGAATTTTTCTCTAACTTGCAGTTGATTCAGGAAGACCAAATGTTTGATGACGATTATAAATCACGTTCGGACAAAAGAGTAGTTTCAAAGGCCTTGGTAAATAAGTTGATTGATTTTTTCAGATGTTTAAATGTAACTGAAGAGTGTCAAAAGTAGTCGGTTAGAACCTGAATTGGATACTCTTTCTAAATATATCCTTAGAATTTTTCCTTGACTGAAGGCCAGTTAGCAAATACTTGAATCAATAAAGATGTCGTTTGTACTTTCCAAATAAGCTTTTCCTCTTATTCGTAATTTCTCTAAAGGGTATTTACGGATGCTTATTATTTTCTATTCTTGTAAAGAATTTAATATACAAGAAAATCATGGATTGCAATAAACTAAAACTCAAAAGAATCAAAAGCTCGAAATATTTTTCGAAATTCTACTCCCTACAAGAGATGTTTTTGTGGTTTTTAGTATTTGAAATGCAACGGATTCTGGTAGTTTGCAAGAATATGCCGAAAGCAAAGCGAATTGGACATTTTGTAGAGGAAGCTTTGTTCTATAAACTGGCATATAAAAACACTTTCCTAGAACTTGAATTGAGGTAGTTTTAATCAAAATACAAAAACACATTACATAAAATATTCTGTTCGAACGTGATTTATGATCGTCATCAAACATTTGGTCTTCCTGAATCAACTGCAAGTTAGAGAAAAATTCTGAATACACGTTTAGAGAGAGTGTCAAATTCTAATTCTAGCTGACTACTTTCCATTTCCTCAAACTAATTCTAAGTGATCCAAAACTGAACAAACATTTTGTCTCAAGACTTTTGCAACAGGGGTTATCTTAGCTGACATTTTAGGTACATACGTACGAAAATATAAATCTTAATTGTTAGAACCAACTCAGCCCTCCATTTGTTGACATGTACTAGAGTTATAACTCACAAATTTTCTTTTCCTTGTGGAAAACATATTCAACGAAGATATTCAAACAAAACTTTTTGTATCGGTCATTTTTCTACAGTCATCTATGTCTACTTTATATCATCGACATCATTCGATACAACGGCTATGAAACTTTCGAAAAAGACTTATTATCTTATTGGAACCTTTTTTTTTAAGATTCAAATGAATGGATCAAAGTCATCATGGATAAGATACATGTTATAGCATTTTTTCGTTCAGAAGACACTCTTAATAAGAACACAGTGTTTCAATTATTTTAAACGTATTTCTAAAGAAATATAAACTAAAGATAGCTGAGACGAAAATATTTGTGACAGCATGTTTGAGATAAGATAATTATAAGAAGAAAATTATCTCTAAATCATACCTCCGATGCATGTGAATTGGTAATTGTACTTACAGTTTATTGTCGCACTGTTGCACGTATGCATCCAAAATATCAGCTCAATATCATGAAGAATATTCAGTACTTCCTGGAGTGACTACTGTTGTTCATGATTGTATACATGTATATGTTATGTTATAGTTACTTATCGATGAGTTTATCATTCAATTTATTAATTTGCTGATAATCGTTGTTGTTGACGTTATAAAAACTATTTTTATCTTGCAATTTTGTCATTCTATATTCGCATAACTCGAATTGTAAAGATTCCTAATACGATACTCTTATTTGGTTAATGACAAAAACCAATTTCATGTGGCATAAAATACCAATTTATTAACTTCTTAAAACTACAATTCTATAAATTTACTCTTTTCTGTCAAATGAATAAAACATTTTTTTTAATATTTATTTCAAAAAAATATATCAATATCATAGAAAGTAGTTAGATAAAGTATTCTTCATGGTTTTTTTCCATTCAATATATGTTCATTAAGCCTTCAATGAACTAACAGACAAAGTGTAAAAGAAAAACTAGAAGTAGTATTAACAGTTACTTCGAAAAAAAGAATCTTCTTCTCATTACTTCACACATATGTAAAAACTATTATAAAAAGATAATTAACACATTGTGATGAAATAATTAACAAAAACAGCTGGCAACGTAGGATGTAACGAAATATTTAGTGATCTTCTATTCACCTACTCTTAACAAATGTGGTAATACCAACAAAGAAAATCAAATATCAATAATAAGTTTTTGTTATCTTAAAGTGTTCCATAACATTAATTTGATACTTATCAAATATTTTTTTTTATTTCTTATCTTTTGCTCACAAAAAGTTCGCCAACATAACCATTTAGTGAACTCTAATCGATAGAAAATTCTTGAAGTATTTAATCCGCTATGGTGGTTTTTCTTTCATTTTTATGTCATCAATGCCAGATGTTTATTATTCTGTTCTCTATAAATATCAACAACAATCTTCTTTTCTTTTTAGTCACAAGCAATTCATTCATATTGTAACATACAAATAACAATCATGAAATCCATCGTTATGTTTCATCTTTTAATCATCTTCACAGTTTATTTTACTAGTAGTAAGTTTTAAATGTTAGAGAAAAAAAAACGAAAAAAAATTTTCTTTTTTGTTTTTCATTACAGCTTTTTCATACACCAGTAATAATGTACGTTTATACAATTTAATTCGAACGCCAATGAATATCAAAGACAAGGTGTTTACATTACCAATAGGAAATAATAAAGATACATTCACACCAGTTCTCAATCAACAATTAAATTCTATTGAAGATGAAGCTAGTTTGCGAGCACGTAGTAGTTGGGATTCAGGTGAAGATTATTTTACATGGGCCAAGAAAAATCGTCGACCAGTAGAATATTTTACTGGACGAAAACGAGAAACGGGTAAAGCGATTTTGCCACCACGTCGTCGATATGATCATGATGGCCTATGGCGAAGTGGACTTGTTGGTTAAAAAGATTAAATGGATATAATTTAGCAAGAAAACAGTATACAACATCTGTTCTTAATTTGTTTTCTTGTGATTAAAAAAATTTAAGTTTTTAAATAAGATACATTTAAAACCCAGAACTGGATATGTCCTTTTTTTTTTGTTAAGAGAATATAATAAAATAATCCAATATGAATAAGAAACTCTCAATCAATAATTCGATCTCTTCGCACGAAATCTATGCAATAAATCAAAGTTAAAATAATCACAAAATTAAGTTAATTAAATAATAAAGCTTTGTTTATAAGAAACAATATTTTAATTTTTTATAAAGTACAAAAAGAGTATTAATTTCAATGATTATGTATCAAAACAATTTATTTTTCTCTAATTTATGATTTATTTCTACTTTTATAAATTTCTAAACTATATGGAAGATCAATGCTCGTACCTATCTTTCAAAGATGCATAATTTTAACCGTCGATGTTTATTAGACATATGTCTGTTTATTTCACTTATCAAGTTTCTTTCTGAAAATAATATTTTCAACGCCTTCAGAAATAATCGTAAAATATTTTATGAACACGATAGTTCTAATGATTATCAATATAATTATTGTCCTTCTATAATACATTAACATATGTTATACTAAAACAAGCTAAACTATAAATGAAGCAAACTAAAGAATATAAAAAATGACTAATGCAGTAAAACCTCTTGCAGTGAAAACTCTTCATGGGTGCTCTTTGAAACTAATCTAAACAACAAGGTAAATTATGATTTTAGTTTAAAGTACTAAAAGTCAAAAACTGTTGAATAAAAAAATAAAAAAGCACTTGAAAGGAGACAAAAAGTGATAAAACTGATATTTTGATTTATACCTGTTTGACCTTCTCCTTTGCGAACGCCTCTCTATATGGAATGTTTTTGTCGGTCCTGACGGTATTCACAATATAGAATTCTTACTATAAATCTATGTATTTTGCTAAAGAGGACATTGTTTTAATAAAAAATATGAAAATAAACTAATAAGTAATTCGTTTCTCTTATATTAAAAAACAATATCATTAAATTGATATGCTTTTTTTCTCTACTGAAAAAGTAATTTATTAGAGTTAAATTTATCAAAAAGAAAATAGAGTGACAAATATTTTTGTTTTATTTCTTATTTAGTAGAAAAAATGAAATTCAAACTCCTAAACGTATTAAAGTTTCTCTGAAAAATATTTCCTCTTCATAGGAAACCATTTCCACAATTAGAAAATATAATAATTGATTTATCCTGAATTTATCAAATATCCGAGAATTAATATTTCAAAAATTTCTGACGATAATAAAATGTATTATTTTGACATCTACATTTTTAATATTAATAGTTTTGATTAGAAATACCAACTTTAATTTTGCTTCAAAATATCATTTTACACAATCGAAAAAAAGTAGACAGGTTAAACATTGACCTCTTATGTGATTCTTTTAATATGTTCTATAGGGTGTCCAGTAAGTCATTAGCCCAAGAAAAATTTGAATATCTCAACCATGCTTTCACCAAATGAGCTGATATTTTTACCGCTGATAGAGGACTGTTGCTAGTCCATATTCATAAGAATAACGTTGACAGAAACTATTTCGAAGTATGGCTTTCGAAATCAATAAAAAGAAATTGTCCTCTTACGGATTTCGGAAAACGTTATTTACGTTTAGAACAACTTGAAGTTGTAAGACATCTTAGTTTACCTGGAACGAATTTAACAGGAAATATGCCTGTATACTTTAAAAAGAATTAGTCTACTGTGGCTAGAATATGCTAAACTTATTCACATTTATTCTTCGCGGTAACTTTAGAACACACTGTAAATAGGATTTTTTTTCAGAATTCCCATAAGAGGATATTTCTTTATTAGAGTTAATAGTGATACTTCGGAACAATTTTTGTCAACGTTATTCTATCAGCGGTAAAAAAATCAGTTCATTTGGTGAAAGCATGGTTGAGATATTCAAATTTTTCTTGGGCTAATGACTTACTGAACACCCTATATATACTTCAGTCTGATTGATGATCGAAAATTTTTAGACAATATGTTTGTTCACTTTTGACCCGTTTTTAATTATTAAACGTTATAAGTTAGGATACTCTTTTTGAGTAAGAGATAAGAAATTTTGTCTTATTTTTTTGTTCGACAGCAGTGGAATGATCTTTGAAAAGTCAAAAAAATTAGTTGGACAGAGTTTGTAAGATGAGGTCTCCCATGAATATGTTTTTTCATTTTGATTTATTTGAAAGCATTTGACATGAGCCAAAAACTATAGGTAACGACCAATATTTGACTATGAACTTTGAAATGATGTGCTTATTTTTGTTCAAGTGTATTCATGGACTTTTTGAAAGTTTTGAAGAATTATTTTTAATGATGAGTCAACAGATGTATGTTTACTCTATAAGCTTCTTTTCAAACATGCTAAGAATTGTCTCAGTTGATTGTTTTGTAGAGCAAACACTTCTTTACAATATATGATATTGAATTAAACTATAGCTTGTACCCAAGCTATTTTTTCAAGAACTTGTTTCAAAGTAAAACGGTTTCATGCTTTAGTTTTTACTTGTCGAGTCTTATTTTGAATGTCATGTTCGTTCTATTTATTTTCAATGTATATTAATAATTTGTTCGGCACAATTTTTTATTATTTCTTTTCGTCTGTCTGCTGACACTTTTTAGTCTTAATATATCATCTACGTCATTGCTTACTTGCAGATTAGTATTCTATATCCAAGTGAACAAAAGGCGACTTAAATGAGTAGTATATTTTCTAGTCATGTCGACCCGAATTGTCTAATTTTTGTCTCAAAAAGTGATCTAACACGACTAAGTCGAATGTAAATTCGTGATGTGTACTCATACTAACGATGTGGTTGACGAGCAAAAATATATAGCGTTGTTTTTAATATTGGTACAAACAGAGGGAAAGTTTCTTCAAGCTTTCTTTATTGTATTAACATGCCATCATCACTATTTTTGGATCGTCCTAAGTAGTTTATTGTTTACTGTCTCTATTGAATGGTTTTCTCACATTAATTAACCAAAGCAAAAAGTCATGAATTAATATCTGATTAAACTCTAATTTATTTCATCTAATCCGTAAAAGCCGAGTGTCTCTTCCAAATGACATTGTGTAGATCTATAAGAAAAAAAAATCATCTTCTTTTAACTATAATAAGATCATACTGAATATCCAGAATGGAGCCTGTTGGCTACAAAATTTTTCAACCCGGTTGAACCGTATTTTGTTACTTTCGATGAAATTTTCTAATCAGAATAGGATAACCATCTTGAAGATATGAGACACTCAAAATCCAAAATCTCTATTTTAATGGTCTATCCTTTTTTGATTATAAAAAACACTAGTCTCGGTTGTCGCAGATTTATTTGCTTGTGATGTCCATGACATGAAACATTGATGATTTCCTAATATTCTTTGTAGACTAAATAGGTCTTACTGTTTCTTTTATTTTTGTATGTACGAAAAAGGAAAAAAATAGAAATAAAATACATAATTTGTTAAACTAAAAAAAAGAAGGATTGTTTTATGTCTAAGCTAAAACAACACGTTGTGCTATACCAACGGAACCAGGTGATGGTGCACCTAAATCATCAAATATTGTAAGTAAATTATTTGTCGGCATAAGCCAATCCGATGGAATATGATAATAACGTTGAGTTGGTTCTAAACAATTAATTTGTGCTTGTTGACAACAACATGGTGTTGAATCGCGACAAACACCTTCTAATAACCAATAAAGACCAAGATCATTTCCATTAATAAATGCATGACCACGATTAAGACCTTTAGCATCAAGTAGAATTGGATTAGCATTTAGATCTTCTCGTACAATATGATCAAGATTAAATTTTGCTTGAAACCATGTTATTGGTTTATTTATACCTTTCGTCCATTGTGTATTCCAATCAACTTTCGACGAGCCTTGTTCCGTATAAATTTGAAAATATTCTCCAATTAAACCTTTTTGATGTTCCCAAAGATTTTCTTCATCATTGACTAATAATTGATCATTAAGCCATACATTTCCAACAATACCTTTATATTCAAAATTATTTTCCCATACACCATTATCAATACCAAGTGAAATAGAAAGAATTTCAAATAAATATTGTTGATTTGGTTTAAATGTTGAAAGATCTAATGATATTGTTGCTGTTAATGAACCTTGACTATGATCATGATTATCAAATTCACCTAAATATTCTCCATTTAAAAAGAATAATAATGCATTTGCTTTACGTGTTTCAACTCGAACTAATGTATGTGCTTGTGTTTGTGTTAATGTTACATTACGACGATACCATAAATAAATTGTTTCATCATTTGTTATTTTAAGTTGTTCTATCGGATTTATTGAAGTAAAAACAGGTAAATTTGTTGTAACTGGTTCTGACCATGTTTGCCATTCAAGTGGACCAATGACAATAGGAAAAATTTCTGTATTACTACTTCGAATATCACTTACATTAGCACTATCCCATAATAAATGTAAATTATCATCAAATATACGTACAGAATGACCAGTCATAGAAATATTATTATTACGAAAAAGTACACCGAATGTATTATCATTTTGATTACTAATAAAATGAAGTAATGGTGGATATGAATAAACAAATTGTTGAGTACCTGTTGACCATTTTTTTCCATCCCAATATGGTAATGGTGTACGAGTAGAACTTTGACTTAATAAAATTTGAGCATAATTAGCAATTAAATGTTGAAGACGACTTAATTGAGTATATTTTGGTTCATTTGGTGTACCATCAGCATGAAGAAGTACATCATCAGCATACATTGTTGTTATACCTGATGCAGCTGTTCGTCCATAATTATTTCCTCCATGCCACATATAATATGAATGATAAGAACCGCCACCAGCAAACCATTCAGCAACAGAATAAGCAACATCAGCTGTTGTACGAATAGCAACAGCTTCACCCCATGGTTGAAACCAACCTTCATTTTCAGTAAATAACATTGGTTTATCTGGATAATCATGTAGATGATGATCAATCCAACCATCATCTAAACAATTACATGAATTACATGTTTCAATTGTTGAATTAGCTGCATGACCATTACACATAATCCATGGAATTTGTGTTGATGAAAGTTCATTTGTTACTAAACTACCACACCAATCAACATAGGCTTGATCATTACCATTATATTCATTTTCAATTTGAGCAAGAATAATAGGACCACCATTTTTAGCAAGATATGGATTAACATATTCAATAATCTTCATTAAAAATGTACGCATTGCCGTTTTCCATGCATCATTATTTGAACGAAATGATATATTAGGTATTTGATTAAGCCAAGCAGGTAATCCACCATAATTCCATTCAGCACATACATATGGACCAATACGTAAATTAACAAATAAACCAGCATCAGCAGCATCTTGAAGAAATTGACTTAAATTAGCACGACCACTAAAATCATATACACCTGGTTTTTGTTCATGTATATTCCAAAATATATATGTTTGAACTGTATTAAGACCTTGATTTTTTGCCATTTTCATAATATAAGGCCACATACCTGGTGTTGAACGTGGATAATGAATAGCACCAGCTATAAGCATTGTTCGAACACCATTAATTGTAATAGCTCGAGGATCATATGAAACAGTGTAAGGTGTACCTCGAACATTTTCATAAGTAACTGGACTTGTAACTACATAAGTCAAGAAACTAAGGCAAACGTATATCAAAAGTAACCAACGCATCTCTATATTTGAAGATTTGGTTGAAATGCTATGCAATATAAATAGATGATAATTTCTATATTTATCTTGCTCACCACCTTTTATTTTTGTTTGAAGTGAAGAGAAAAAAGCATACGAATGATAAACATGTGACTACGAGTGAATTGAGACCTGAAAAGAAAATAAATAGGCAAGTGGTTTGTCACTAAAGGATGCATGCACAGAACGTTTAATTATAGATGGTAAAAGAGCAGACAGATACTACAGTATATCGAACATTATTTTTCTTTTTATGTAAATGCTATCAAAATTTTATCTTATACCCTTTCGTACTTTTATCATATAAAAAAACGTTTCCAATTTAGTTTTGAAAATACTTTTTATAAAAAATTGATCGATTTGACGATTATTTCACAATATGCAAATATGTCATCTGAATCATTCATTTGAAACTTTTTACTCTATTCGCTATAGAATGGACAAATAGTTAGTAACGGTAAAAAAAAATGCAAATTCAATTTATATTTTTTTTCTGTTGAACATTAGTGACACATTATATTCTTCAGTAGCAATGGCAATTGCAAGTTTTTTGATGAAAGCATCGAATATGAAATTTTCAACAAATAATTAATCTCTGAAATATGATAAATAAAGTCTTCATTAAACTAACACTTATAAACAATCTTTAAGTTAAAAATATTTATGTATACATAGATAAGAAAAAACATCGAAAGTAAATTTAAACAATCACTCTTATCTTTGTGTGTTTTACCATAATTATCCTGCGAAAAATATGTAATTCATCAAAAAATTGTTTTTTTTTTAAATACCTGTTTTGATTACAATTGGTTTTCTATTATAAATATCGTTAAAATTCATTGATGTATTTAAATGAATCAAAGATTCTATTTTTTGTCTTTTAAATTCTTTACATTGAAGTGCTGGTAATTTACTGATTATGAAAGTTAGATGAATCAAATTAAATCAAAAGTAACGAGACTTCTAGGATGAAACGTTATGCAAATAAATTCATCTAATTTTTACTTCAATAACTTGTCAAACTGTTAATCTTGTTTATTCATGTATAACAAGCATGTTTCGAAATATTTGTTTTAATTTTTTTCCAAATGATAACTTCGATGTCGATTTGATCAAGTACTTACATCGTAGTTTCTTATAAAGTAACATGCAGTCTTTTTTTTTGTTTTATTTTACCCTTCCTCTGAGTATATGTGCTCTAAACAATTTAACTGAAAGATGCTCATGAAACAGCATAGTATATCTTAAATCACAATTCGAATATTTCCTACCGTGATTGGCTATAGAGAAGATTTCAGCTCAGCTTTCACAAGTTCAAAGTAGAGCTCGATTAGATCTATCGATTCCATGGGTTGCTCTTCGAAAAACACATCTCCTCCTTCAATCCTAGACAGACATTTGAACAAATCTAATGATGCTTATAGTTAGAACTAGACGAATTCTTACGACTGCACACTCCATTAGGTCAATTTCAACACATCCTTGATTGAAAAAAGTTAATTAATCTTTTGTTCAAATGCAAAGGTAAGTGAACTTTAATAAAACCCATAATGATTTGCTCTAAAGCTGGTTTCACATCTGGTCAGCTCGATTCTACTGCACCATAATCAACAGTGTCGCTATCGCTAATTGCTCCTCTGTTCCTTAATCATATTACTACCAGCTATATCCTGAACAACTAATCTACAATGTCGTCCGTAAGTTTTTATGCGCCATCGACTTCGTGACAAAATTTGTTGATCTTCGAAGTGTTCTTTTGTCTACCAAAAGTTTGCACGAGCAGCCATACATTGGAAGTTCGTATGCGGGTATGATTATAAGTGTGAATGTAAATGTTTGCGTTTTCCTCAGTCACCATCATACCCATATCTCTTCACTAACAAGACACTGCACATTGACTCCCACAGGACCAGGCTGGACCAACATGAAAACATACATCTAATAGAAATACGAATTTAACTGTAACTGAATCGGACAAATCAGCACGAGAATGGGTTTATAGCTATGGTGCAACGAAGGCATCCAGTTACATCAGTCATGTCAAATGATGTGATCGAACATTTACAAAGATCGATATTTATGTTGATGAGATTAAAGAAGAATTAAATAAACATCATGTCGATGATTATAGCACATACAGTATGGATCATGCTGATGATTGATGACTTTTATAGTGAATTCACGTAAACATTTTGAAACTCTTTTCGATTGATCGATTTGGATTCAGAAAATTATTCTAATGAAAGCATCATTAAAATAAATTTTATGTACGGTTTTCAATGTCTTTTTTAGTAGAAAAAAAAAAACCATGTCAAGAAGTCGAAGGCGAACAAAAGCTTACGAAAGGAAATATTTGTGAGGTGCTTAGATTTTGAAAAAAAATGCAGTGAGTGATCTTCGGTACAATCTTTATATCTTTGGAACATCAACCGTTATCGATTTCGGCATTGCATGAACCGATAGAGAAAAAGTTAAACTATCTACCCATTACATTATATGTCGACATGTCATTGATCACTAAAATAGATATAATGATCAATTGAAAAAAATATGTAAATCATCAATATAAATATTAAGCGTCAGAACTAAAATTATCAGTAATCAATTGTAAAATGATCAGTTTAATAGACGTAAGTAGCAGTAAAAAAATTAAAACTTATCAGTACAAAAATAAGCTTTACTGGTAGAAAATACACTTAAATAAATCAAAGAACCAGAGAATAAAAAGGAAAAAAGTTAAGAATAATTGAAAAAAAAGAAACTAACAGCCGAACTATTGTATTAGTAAAGTAGGTTTAGCCTTTCCTGTTCTATCTCTTTTTCTTGTCTCATCGGTTAGTGTTGTCTTAACTGATGCTAGTAATTTACAATATTTCAAACGGATAGTCATAATTGCCACGTGTTTGCATTTAAGAAATGCTGGACTAAAGAATTTACTGATTAACCATTCACTTGATTGATTCTGTAATTATGTCATTTACTGACTATAAATCATATTCCTTATATAATAGTTGAGAACGCATATTATTTGCAAAGTGAATGAAGATCATCTTCAAAATTAATAATATATCTAGTAAGGAAAGGGGCTGGTATTCTTTATCAACTTTATATAAAGATAGACCAATATCGACTCTAGATAATGCTAAAATCCGAGTTATCGGTTGTCTTTTTGTTTTTAAGCTATTGTTGATCGTACTGTACAAATACAATCAAATGAAAACATGATAAGTGAAACAAACAGTAGTAAGGTGAGAATAACATATCATTTACGCATGATTCATTTCTTCTCAATCGATTTTTTGCTTACCTTTGTATGAGATATGTCCCATGAGAATCATTACTCAGCATTGAAAATTACTAGAGCAATGGGAAAAAAGCCGTTTTTGTCATAAGCGAACGAGACAGATTCTGTGTTATCACCCAATGTATCTATTTACATCAATCATAATTGTCATAAAGAAAGTTCCTTATTAGAATATTTACTCATCAGTAACAGTAGCAACAAACATGAGTATAAAAATTGGTCGTTTTTGCTTGTTTCTCTTCAGTTACAGTTTTTGATTTCATTGATGTATAAAAATAAAGAATACTTAAGATTAGTCGTTTTTGAATCGATATCCTTTCAACACTCATTATTCTTTAGTCTCTCTCTCTTGTTCATACTTTCGCTTATCGATATAGATTAAGTCTTATACTATGTAAGATACTGTTGTCGATTCATTGCTTACATGATTTCACCATATCAAGTTATTAGAGTAGTTATCTTCATTTACTTTCTATTGTTTTAGATAGTAAAAAAGATATCAGCGCAAGAGCAAACATGAATATGTTTTGGTCTATATTGATCTATTCTCTCCTTTATGTTAGTATATTCTTCAATGTTCAAGGCTATGACAACGATAAAGATGTTTTGCTGAGAAGCTTGATTCGTCGAAGGGTTGCTCGCTCGAGCTGTTCTGATCCAAAACTATGTCTGTCGAAATGGGGTTATTGTGGAACGGGAGACGCTTATTGTGGTGCTGGTTGTCAAGCTGGTCCATGCACAGGAGGTGGCGGTGCGACTCCTAAACCGGACACAAGTGGAGGTGGCGCTGCCTGTCCTATATCAACTCAATGTCGATCTCAATGGGGTTACTGTGGAACAGGAGAAGCTTATTGTGGTGCTGGTTGTCAAGCTGGTCCATGCACAGGAGGACGTGGTACGACTCCTAAACCGGACCCAAGTGGAGGCGGAGGCACCGGAGGTAACACAGATAATTTTTTGAACAACAATCCATTCACCTAAGTGTTTAATGCGATCAGTGAATAGCCGTTTTTCGAATCCGTCAGCGCGGAATCGATGTGTTCTAATTGCTTAGAGCATTTAAGAGGTCTGTATTTTTTAATTAGTAACTGGATCGACAGAATGCTTATGGGAAAAAGGGAAACCTACACTATTTTGACTGAGAGCTTCTTTCATTCCAACCCTGAGATGTGAATGCTCATTTAAGACATGCATCATGAGATTCCTTAGTAGATGCTATGATGGATTTGACATAGACGAGTATTTTGATTTTTCAAGAAATGGAATTGACTCTCCTCAAGATTGATCAGTATTTTACTAGACTGCATTGCGAACTTTTCAAAATTTTGTTTCCTCGATAATTCGAATGGATTTGCTTCAATTTAAATATTGATGTATATTCTATATCACTTCGATGAATGTTGCCAAATCAAACATGGCTAGAATCTATGATAAACTAGTCTACCGTATCAATAATCATTGAATGTAAAGAATAGCTTTTCCGACAGACGATGTATCGATATATTTTGAAAGATTTCAAAAACGTTATTTCGGTTAATGTTGGTCATTATTATTGCACAAATGTATCGCATGTTTAAAACAGAAAAAGTCATAATCAACCAGATGTAGTCAATCATATCATTAGCTGAAGAATTTCAAGATGCATCATTTAGAAAAACAGTCATATATGCGAACTAGAATGGAAAGAGCCATCATTCATATTAGTGAGAAGTTCGCCTTGTCCATAAGATCTGACCGTTGTGATTCGACCAGCGTACCTGCATTCGTACTGTTCATCAATATAACGTTAACTTGTATTGTATACAATAGAGAGATTCTGTATATACTGAATGTTTTTCTTTACTTGAATCCTGTTGACTATTTTTAAAAATTCATCGACATGTATCCCAATCTATAGATAGTTGAAGAAAGTTTGGTTGGAACTGAAAGAATACTCTTTATATTAACATCCTTGTTTGATGAAAATTGTACCTTTATGTCTTTTTCTGTTCTAAAGCGTCTGAAAAGATTCTAGTACTTAGGGGTGAGCATAACAATCCTGACTTGTCGAGCTATACACCAGAAGTCCCTTTCTCTACACATCTCACTTTTAATGAAAATATCCTGAGGTTGATCTATGGATATCAAGATTGAATATGAGAAGAATCTGATGAACAATTCGATATTTTTTCAGAGGTTCCTAGAAAGACAGGGGATATAGTGTTTACTTTCTTTCAGATCACTAGTTATCGAGGAAGTAATTGTTTGTGAGAGAAGTAACTCTTGAAAATCACGAATGATTTGTCAAGTTGTTTAATATATTTTAAGATGTCTATTTCTCGTTTAGGTGGCACTTTTCAAGGAGATGCTACATATTATAGCGTTAGTGTTGGCTACACAGCATGTGGAACAATGAATAGTGATAGTGAATATATCGCTGCATTGAACGCACCACAATTCGATCCATATACACCTGGTGGCAATCCAAATAGAAATAGCTTATGTGGAAAGCTAGCCAATGTCGTTGGTCCGTTAGGATCTGTTACGGTAAAAATTGTTGATAGATGTCCTGTATGTAAGTACGGCGATCTTGATCTATCCGAAGCTGCTTTCAGAGCCGCAGTTGGAGACTTTAGCATTGGCCGTGCAAGAATTACATGGAAATGGCTTTAAACATATGTCATTGTAAACTTCTGTCTTTTTTCAAGAACTTTCTATAATGTACATTTACTTTTCATTTTTTTTTAATGTCATAATCATCATTTCTTTTTACTCACATTAATCAATGTTTTTCCTTTAAAATAAATTTTCAAACATATATAGATTGTGAAGATGTCTTAATGTGTTAGAATGTCTATTCCATGTCAAGAAAATTCTTGAGCTCTTACTTTCGATCAATATCAAATTGAATGTTCGCGAATCATTGATGAAAAATGCCTTAGAATGACATGAGATTTGTTACGAAGATGAAAAATTAAATCTAATCATGTAAACCCCTCCCCATATTAGAAGCCCCCGGGGGGCTTCTATTAGACCCTGCAAACTTTGGCCGGGTTTTGCTGGGCAAAACTGAAAATTTTGCTGGAGAGACCCCTCCAAGAGGGGCTTCTAATAAGGGGGGGGGCTTCTAATATGGGAGGGGCTTCTATTATGGGGAGGGGTTTATAATCTGGCTTTTTTTGTTAAAGAAGCTCTTTGTATTGACATAGTCAATTGGAGTTCTTCGGATTTTTCTCGTGGAAAAAACATTGCTGACAAAATTGGTTCTTTTCTTTCAAAGTAGCTTCTTTTAGATATTGACTGCAGTTAGAATTTTTAAACGATTCTTAATAATAACAAATACTTATATCCAGGTGAAGTTTGATTCTCTCTCCACTGTTATAAAAGGATTTCATCAGCCATTGAATTTTCATAGTGAACTGTTTTTATACGTAATTTTAATAAATCTAGTTTCAATTAAACACAAGACTGCCCGCTCTGAGATACAATTCATCGAAGGTAGCATACGTTTACACATGATCAAGGTCTCGCCTCAAATCCATGCTTTCAGCAAGTAATAAGTAGCAAAAATTCAGCGTTTTTAATCAAAATTCACTGTACAGTGTAAACGGACATTCCATAACGTCTTGCATAGTGTACGAAGTACGTACTCACTAGAATAAATGGAAGAATATTCGATGAAGAATAGCATCTCAATATGAATATGCTTTAGATTTGAATAACAAAGTCAAGTGACATTGTAAAGGTACATTAATCGTCGACAATATATGTACAGTAGCGTCTATTTTCAACTATTCCTTTCTCCTAGATGTGCAACTAGATTTTCAATGACTATGTGAGACATTTAGATTGATATGAGAATGAGAGTTAATGCTTCGCAATGTGCTGTTTTCACTGGAGTCAAGAAGCACTTTCACCCGGTCATGAAACAATATTTATGAATGATGTCTCTAGATCATTACATACAATAACATGACTAATAAGCGATCTCTAGAGCTCATTTCCTTGACGCTCATCGAAGTGAAGCTTCTTCAGTTGATATTTGAGATTTTTTACTTTCGTTGGAATCGGCTTCCTTCTTAAATCTCCCTCAATTATGGCGCACTTACCAGGAAACATTCCAAAATGATCCACTCGATTTGTCCTCAAAATTTGCTCATATACAGGAGATTACTAAAGTAGCATAACCTCTAAAGATTTGCAACTCTTGTTTAGATATAGTCGAAATAGCAACTTTTTAGTAGATCTCTCCTGCAGAAGTTCAGCTTTCAAAAAAGATTTATAATTCAGAAATTCCTCCTGAAATTTTGTACGCATGCAGGTCTCGATTAGGCTATCTCATATGCAAAGTTCTATGAATTTTGGATATACCAATATCAAGATATGGTTTTCTCAATGTATTGCTATCATACACAGAACTTATAGAAAAACATAGATATATTGAAAAACGTATATCTTAGGAATGCGATATCCATAATTGATGAAACTTTGTACATGAGATTGATAGTCTAATAGAGACCTCCATACTTAGAAAATTCCAGATGAAAATTCCAAAATATAGGTTTTTCAAAAACTAAGCTTCCACAAAAGAAATCTACTAAAAAGTGGCTATCTCGACTTGATCTACGCAGGACCAGAATGCCTTTAGAGTATACACTACTCTAGTAATCTCCTACATATGGGCAAAATATGAAGACTAAAGAAAAAGGCTACTTGGAATCCTCCTTTGTTACATGAGAATACATGAATTTACGTGAGACTCGACGTACGCAAGTAAATATATCTTTAGAAATTGATTATCTCACATTTATGTGACGAGTATGAGAAAAGATAGAATCAAAAACGAATAGGAGACAACAATCACATTCACCTTTTTTTCTAATCATTGAAAGATGTATGAAAGAAACATATATAAGTTAGTTGCGCCATGCGATACATGTGATTTTATCATTGGCAAATGAATGAAAGCATCCATCCATAGCTGTTTTTCATCGATAAAATCATAAATATTTAAATACCATCATTTGATGCAATACTCGATTATATATACAGAAAAGGAAATAAAAAAAACTAAGCAATATCGATTTATTGTTTTTTTTTTATTCATGCACATTTTATATGTATTTTTAATAACACACATAATTATCTGACAATTATTTATCATTATAGAGAAAAATAAAGGAAATTCATATAAGAAAAAGAAAGAAATTTAACATTAAATGTTTAATCTTTTTTTATCGGTGAACAATCGGCTTCGAATGGAAATGATGATGTTAATATTGGTGATATTATTTGTTGTTTGCTAAGTTGATGAGACGGACTTGATATACGATGATCATCCTAATGAAGAAAAACACAACGTCCTTTTTTTTTTAATTTTAATTTTATAATTTACTTCTGTTTCACTATCACATCGAGGTGGTAATTTAGGCATTTGAGTACTTGTAACATTACCAGATGCATGCCCAGATTGATCACTATCTTCAGGAAGTAAATTAACATCATCTTCTTCTTCATTTTCAAATAAACGTCGTTTAAGAAATGATACATTATTTTGTCCACCACCATTTGATAAACGAGATGACTGTGATGATTGATTTGTATTATTAAAACTTGTATCAAGTGATGTATTTTGTATTTCACCATATTCTTCCATAACACATGAATCAAAATCAACAGGTGGTCGACTTTGAACTATATTTAAAATAAGAATTCTTATGTAAACAAATATTTTCTAATTAAAAATCTTTGCAATTGTAACAAAAGGATGATCATACGTACACAAAATCAAGAATAATATTTGTATAAATGATGCTTTCATTTTCATTCATATACGATTCAATCAAAACGGTTTTGTAGATATCTACGCATATGTTTCTAAGATTTTCAGAAATACAACAAGTTAGGAAAACAACATTATAAGCAGAAATAATGTAGCTTCAATGAATTACATTTTATAAGTAAATCACAAAAAGATATTTAAGAAAAAAGACTCTTGCTAGTTTTAACGTATTGTTATGATTTGCGTGCGTAATAGAAATCAATATAGCATCATTCTAAGTAAAGATGTAAGCTAACATACAGATTAGTGATAGTTGAAAATTTTCGAAAACATAAAGGTAAATAGAATTCTGAAAGAAATTAGAAAAAGTTAATGCAATCATTCAAACTTAAAATACTAAAAGAAAATAGTATATATAATGCATCTGCTAGATGAAATGAGCAAAGACTTAAACGACCGTCTTATATATTTTTTTTCTGTTTGGCAGATGCAGTATTACAATACTGTTTCTTACCGTATTGTAAACGGTCGGATACTCTACTTTCCAACGGTTGAGCGACCTTTATCAACTATTTACGATATGATAAGATACAGTCGTAATACTTCACCTACCAAACGTCAATTAACACTTATTTGCGACTACCAACTGCATAAAATGATAGTTTTTAGTTTTAGCCATCTCGACAACTGTTATCATCGTCGTGAGAACTGATTGACTTATAATTCTAATTTTAAACCAAAGAATAACTGGCTTCAAAAAATCTGTGTATAGTTGTTCTAGAATCTGTTAGATGCATCATCTTACTGTCATAAACACTTGTCAAAAGAGAAGGACGTCATCCTCAATTTATTAAATTTCTTAAATCAAAATGCACTTCGCTGAAATTCGATGATGTATCTTTCAGCAAGACGGATGTCGGCAATACCTATTTTCGACGATATTCATTTCGATGGTTGAAACTATCGATAACAATCGCAGATAATATCTACAGTATTCTCAGTGTATAGTCAAAAAACGAACGAAAACCATTGATAGAATTTATAGAAAGAGATTCAACAATGAGGTACATAATTACAAAAATTGTATCAAAAAATAGAACCGGTACCGATGTGTCTTATTAATTTTATTGCTCTTAGTATCTCATAGAGAATGTGTAATGAAATTTTGTTGAAAGTTGACTATATCAAATATCATTATTCACAGATGAAATAGTACTACAACTCATCAATTCAATATCGGTATAGATTTCAGATCGACTGGTTTCATTTCTGTTTGAAAAAAAAAATTTTGTTCTCCATATTGTAATTATGTGATGAAGATAAGAATTCATCATCACACACGAGTAATTGGAATTAATTTTTGCGAATGTTGATCCGATATGTATCAATTACAAAACGGTATACATACGGAGATTTTACTCGCAATATAAATTATTTATTTAGAAAACTTACAATCACGTTGAAATATGGATGATGTTGTTTTAATATCAAAATGAGGAAATGGTGATGTCATTGGATGCATTGTTGATGCTGCACAATAATATCCTTGAATGAAGTATCGAACATACGAACTTTGAATTTCAACTCAATTAATCAGTTTTACTAACCATAACCATCCATGGATAAAGCTTTTTCTTGTTGATTATTTGGTGCAGCTGGTGTTGGTAAATGAAGTTTACTTGAACAAAACTCATATGCTGCACGTTGATAACGTTGCATTAAATTTTCATCACTTAAATCCAAAAAAAAAAAAAAAAGAAAAATTTTTTATTTAAAAAAAAACTTTATTTACAAAAGAGCAGCATCAATTTGAATAATATTTTCATCAGAAAATTTTCTTGGATGTAATTCAGCTAATTGTTCAATCGACCAATTAAAAACAGACGTTGATGTACTTGTCTGAAGCAAAAAAAAAGGAATTCAATTATAAGATTAATTTCTTTGATTCTTTTTTTTTTCAAATTTTACTTTATCATTATCATCATTTTGTGAAAGTACACGAAATATACTTGGACTAGCAAGACGTTGTTTAAGATGAGCTGATGTTGGAGGATCAAATGGATTATGAACAATACGATAAAATCTAGGTGTTTGTTGAAAATGATGATCATGTGAAAAAATCATTTTTGTTACAGGTGTATGATGACCATCAGATAATGGTCGACATTGAAAATTTGTTGATGGAAAATAATCATCTTCATCAAGATCCATTGGACGTGCTGGACTAGACATCATGTTGATCATCAATATGATTACAAAATCTAATTCAGAAAAAATTTCAATCAATAAAAAATCAATATACATTAGTTGATTTATTAAATATATTGAACAATAAAATTTACTCAATGAAATAACAAATATGAAATGTGATAGAATTATTTATGATATGTATGAGCAGAGATTGATATCACTTGTTAATCATTTAATGATTGATCAATTTAATCGAACCGAAGAGAATTTTCCAACTGAGAAATTTCTTTTAAATTCGGATTATTTGCATAAGGTAGATCCTAATGAGATAAATAAAAACCATAAAAGAATCAGTCTCCTTAGATCTTTTGTCAATCGAGTATAGGTTCTTTACTCGAATTCTAGCTTCTGTCATGGTATATATAAATAAATCGAAATGATTATTCCTTGATCTATGATTTTGCCTACGGACATGCAAACATGCTAGAATTTTCTGTTGTTTAGAATTTTAATATCTCGGAGGGAAATTATTCTTTTGATTTGATTCTACCGACAAAATAGACTTATCAACAGACAAAATCTCAAATCGAAATACCGTTATCCGATTTGTTGATATGTACCAAGCCATAGACTAAAATATCCACAGAGTTTAAATTCAAAAGCGATTGATCAATTGAAAACTTTCTTTCCTAGTAATATAAAACAATTAAATTTTCTTAAAAAATTGATTCGATAAAACGAAAACCAGTTGAACAAGCAAAAGCAAAAAAGTAACAAGTATATTGACCAATGAAAATCTTTTATCAATCCTCTCTTTTGCTGTATAATATTTATCATTCAAAATATTATAATAATTAACTAAAAGAATTTTCTTTTCTCATATTTTTTTTAAATATCTTTTTAAATAATTTTAATTTATATTATAATGAATGTAAATGGAGAGAGTCAATGAACAAGTTGACAATGGATAGAAGACTATGTTTTTTCCTTTGATTCATATCTATTTATTATTTATTGTTTTCTGTCATTTGTGACGCATCAGGCAAACCTGTTAAATCACCATAAATTCTTTCGTATACTTCTACGTAGATATAGTTTTATTCATAATTAGAGTTATTTCGCCAAATAGGAGTGATACGATCAGCGAACGATGTAGCGGAAGAATGCTGAAACAGAGAGTATCACCCTCTTTCGTTGAAAACTTTATCGGTAATTTTCTTTGATTTGGAAAGAAATTTATCCCGAAATTTCTTTATTCCTTGCGATGCGTAACGGAACATTCTTCTTTGTCAAAAAAAAATTGGTTCTTCTGCACGACATAAACACAGTGCAGAGTGAAGGTGCAACTATGTGTGTACATGCACCGAAAAATCACAGCTAGTAAGAAAAAAAAAATCAAATTTTTATTTTTGTGATAGTTTAAAGTTATGTTCTTTCAGTGAACGTATACATAGTTATGTATTTACTGAAAAACATATTAAGACAATCATTTATTGATTAATTTCAGGTCACATACGAAATAAACCAGCTGAAAAATAATCAAAAAACAAGACGGTTCGTCGAATTTAGCTAGTTTATGTTTATTCTCGAATTCTTTTTGGCTTATATAAAATAATTTCAATTAATATAATTCCTTCATTAATTATACATTAATATTTTATTTTGCAGTAGTTTTTTTTTTATTTTCGAAAGTAACTTCTACCCTCTTGCATTTACCTCTCCGTTCTGGTAATGAGTCCAAACATTTATTTTCCATTACAAAAAAATGATACGCCTTATTTCTTCTAGACGTTATTCTGATTTATAATTGTTTTTATTGTTTACTAAGTTTATTCATGATAGAATAGGACGAAAAATTCAGAATTTCAAAACATGCTTTATAGCAGTTGAATAATAGATGTTTTCTTTTTTCTCAACTACATCATCATCATGATGTTCGCATCACTTTTTTCGTTTAGTTTTAACTCGAAATCAGCCTTCAAACTAAGGTGTTGTCGAATAACCAGAGGCAAGAAAACTGATAAGCGAAACATTTTCTTCATGACCGGGTGTGATGTTTATCTTTGTCATCAGCAACTAGTGACAAAGAAATAGAAAAAAGATGCATATACTTTTTAGTTCGAATATATATGCAGAAGTAATGTTTTTATTTTCTTTGTAAGTATATTGTTGCACTAGTCAATATGAACTAAGTCTTTGAGTATTAGTGGAAAATATTTTATTGTCTATTTTGTAGATCCTTGATCCTTCCATTCTTTATATTCATAGCTTAAATCTCCTAGTATTTTTTTTTAATTATCATTAATATGCCGGGTGTAACAGAAAAATGCCCTGCCTATTCGGCTTTTTTTGGCTCTATGGGTGCCACTGCAGCTGTTGTATTTAGCGGTATGTGTATTATTTAATTCTTTATTTTCCATGAACTTAATCTCTTTTTCATGTTTAAAGCATTGGGTGCCGCTTATGGTACAGCTAAATCAGGTTGTGGTATATCAGCTATGGCTGTTATGAGACCAGAATTTATTATGAAAAGTGTCATTCCTGTGGTTATGGCTGGTATTATTGCCATTTATGGTCTAGTCGTTGCTGTACTTATTGCCAATAACATTGCTACTGACAACTACGGTCTTTACAAGTAAGAATAATCTATAGATGAGTACGTTTTTGTATTTTTAACATTGAATATCAATAGAGCATTTCTTCAATTGGGCGCTGGTTTATCAGTTGGTTTAAGTGGTTTAGCAGCTGGTTTTGCTGTTGGTATTGTTGGTGATGCCGGTGTACGAGGAACTGCTCAACAACCACGGTGATTAAAAAACAAGCTGATTTTTCTATTAACAATATATATATATTATTGTTTTTTTTTAATTTAGATTGTATGTTGGCATGATTTTAATTCTAATTTTCGCTGAAGTACTTGGTCTTTATGGTCTGATCGTAGCACTTATTATGACGACGAAAAATCAACCCGGTTGCGATTAAACAATATCTATTGAACATAAATACGCGCATATCCTTTTCTTTCCCATGGTTATTCTGTTTGTCTATTTATTATTCTTCTTTTCTTTTTTTTTGTTTTTTATTGTTGTGCGTCTTGTCTTGAACATTTATTTGATTGTTGTTTGTTCGTCACGTTCTTTTTCTTTTTCTGTTCATGCGCGTATTGAAAAGTTCTTTGCAAGAAAAAAAATGATTCCGTTTATTAACATATATATATATTTACTCCATTTTATTTTTTATGATATACAAAATAACCCGAATTATTACTGTGCAATTCATTCGCGCTAGTGTTGTATTCTACATTTAGTTGGTTTCTTTGTTCTTTTTTCGTTGTTTTTATTTCTCATCAATGTAAGTAGATATGAGTCAGTACGTATGGTGATTGTTTTCCCATTACTTCCTTAATCGTTTGGTGTTAGAGTATAAAAGAAAAGCATAACATATCTATCGACGCACACATCTTAATGTACTCCCCCCCCCCCCGCCCCCAACAGTTTATGTTCGTTATTTATTAAATTATAAGAACGAAAATTTTAATTATCATTACATTCTGAATAAATGTGTGTATTTAAGAAACGGTATAGAAATTTAAATTTATGATGAAATTTTTTTGATAGAAGAATTAATTCAATGGTGAATTTTGGTATATAGTTACGATTATAGTCACAAAAACGTGTTCTTTAAGTCAAATTAGAGATTGTTATATCTCATTTTTTTTGGAAGAAAGAAGCAATTACTCTTCCTTCTGAATCTGCTACTGAATAAATTGTATTTATCACTTTTCTAGCTTTAGATATAAATAAAAAAAGATTCCTTGGTGGAATGAGTAAGTCAGTTTGAATGCTGAATTCAAACATTTGAGATTGCTTCGAAGTTCATGTACAACGTTTGTCAAGTATTTTTCAATTGTAAAGTATTTTTATTTTTTTTTACTGACCTGATTTTTCAGTAGCTTGGATGTAAATAGTTATGTAAATGGATTGAATAAACATTTTGAAAATACAAGTTTCTCAAGTATCAATTTTTTTGATATTTATTTTTGCCACTTATCAACGTTAGTTGTTAGTGACATATTTTGATTTTTTTTTCATTTCAATGTAATGAGTGTATACATAAAAAAAAAAGATGTTGTTTTTTTCTTTTTTGTTATTTCTGTTTGTTAATAGCATTTTTTTTGTTGATGAAACTATGACACTCAAATAAACGAGAGAAAAAAAAATTAAGTACATGAAAAAAAGAAAAAAAAACGAAGAAAAATTCGTACCGATTGTATTGTTGTTACATTTGTATATTTCGATTTCTACGTCATGCCGTCTGAAACTGTTTTTGTATCATCGGGAAGAAGAAAACATGCATTACCAGTAAGACGTAGTCGATCAGTTCAACCATTGGATCATATACCAACACCACCTGATACCATACTTGCTCAATTAGTTGATTTTCGTATTAATGGTCGAACCATTGATGCACGAAATGTTGATGAACTTTATCCTGGTTTAGATCGTTTACTTCTTCGATGTTTACAAACAGGCGACAGTAAACAATTAGATAATCGTTTAAATCGAAATTTAAAAGCAGAGTACCTGTTAATTACAAGTAAACATATACATATTAGTGTATGTTCACAAACACAAGATATACTTGAAAAACTTGTGGGAATGGGAGCTACTCTTGGTAAGTATCATCCAATAAAGAAGAACACAGATTTATTTAGAGTTAAAGTTAGAGTATTTTACAATGTTCTCTAACGATGGAACTACTTGAATTGATATCCATTGCCGTTTGAGCCCTTACTGACTTCACAAGGAGATCTCAGTAAGATTAAAAAATTCAGAACAGAGTTTGTGCTCATAGGTGTCTGAAGCCGAGTTATGCCGTTTTTTTCACTGTATTTTCGATTCAGCTTTAGGTATTTATTCAAAGGATACGATAACGGAACTTCAACTTGAAATTTTGCACATGAATAGGCCTAGTGACTTTGGAAAGATCCTGAAAGTTTCAGTGGAAAAAAATGTTTCTTTATCGAGATATCAAATTCTGAAATAATCTTGATTTTTGTGACAAACGGGCATTTTTATGAAAATTCAATATTTCGAGAAAAAAATACTCTTTTCAGCTGACAGTTTCAGGATATTCTCAGAAGCAGCACAGCTACTTGTATGCAAAATTTCAGATCGAAATTTCGTTATTTGTTTTTTCGGTAAATGTCTAAAGCCGAATCGAAAATTCAGTAAAATTGGTCATCAGTCATTTCTAAAAGTCCATGGGCACGAACTCTTGTAAGATTTTTCTAGTCTTACTTAGGGTTCCTTCCGAACCTCGTATAAGTTCAAATGTCAGCGAATATTGATTTGGATAGTTCCTTTGTAAGTAGCTCTCATATTGATGGAATGCTGGAAAATGAAGGCAACTAAATATGAATAGTTGAGATCATAAACATAGACTAAATTAATCACACTTAGACCATACAAAGTAAAAGTATAGCATTCGTACGGAACTTATACAGAACATAAAACATAATTGATTTATATGAAAAGCAATTTGATAATATTTTAATACATGATATAGTAGCAAAAGTATCTTTCTTGTAACGAAAAAATCTATTATGAAATATTTGTCAAGTTTTTTAGAAATTTATGAAATATTCTTCAAATATAGTTCTCTACTAAAAATTACTAAAATTCCACGATCAGAATTATCATTCGTTTACACAGATTTTATTAATTAGGATCTGTTTTCTTATGGACTAAGAATTTAAAGTTTTAACAAAATTGTCAACTACAGAAAGTTCCATCATTCTAGAAGATTAGGCGTGCATATAAGAATATTTTTTTTAATAGACTAAGTACTTTTAAACTGAGATAACCATTAAAGAAAAGTAATGTTTCATTTGATAGAACCTATTCAACTTGTTACATCTCAAGATGAAGCTTTTCAGACAAGCAATATACAAAAATTGGTTAGTTCCAATAGTGATCATGATCAAGAATTACTTTCAAAAACAATTAAAAGATTTTAATTTATTCTATTAAAATGAAATAAAACGAATATTTCTTTTCGAATCAAAAACTTCTAATCAAATGTTATTCAATTTATATTTACATTTAGATCTACATTTTTACGAACCAATTCATATGAAAGAATTAGAATTAATGTGTAAATATGGTTTTGATATCAATGAACGTTTAGACAAATATAATAATCAAACACCACTTTCAATATTTATAAATAAGAATTATTCAATACCTATGCTTGATGTTTTAATAAAACAAGGTGCACGTTTCGATTTACAAGATAATAATGGTCAAACATGTCTGCATATTGCATGTCAATCAGCAATAACCGATCCTGTTTTTGAATTTATTATTAATAGTTCACCTGATTCATGTTTAAATATTCGAAACCAATCTGGTGGTACACCACTAGATCTAGCATATTTATCAACATATGAACAAGCAAATTTATCACGACTACGTCGTTTACATTTATTATTATCACGTAAAGAAAGTAAATTAACAAGATATGGAATGCGTGAACCAAATTTACTTGCTAAAAAACAATATAAATTATTTGATATATTAGCATGTAAAGAATTTTTATTTAAATATCGTCTTAAAGATGTATTTGATCCAAAAATACGATCATTATCATGGTGTATATTTTTATTTTATGATGTTTTACGTGCATGTGAACAACGTAATACAAATCTTACACAACAAACAATTCAACAACGTCTTGAACGTTATTTAATATCAATGATTGAAAATGGTGAAATACCATTAGATAAACTAATATTTCGTCCAAATCTTCGTTTTGATAATACATATTTATCTTCATCATCATCATCGTCATCATCACCAACATATGAATTAGATCAACAATTATTAACAGATACACAAAATTCATTGTTACAAATGGCACAAATAAAAAGTAAATTAAGTGAATTACGTACTCAAACACTTACTTTAAAAACTATTTGTCGAATTAAAATTAAAAAAGAAATTCGAACATATCCAAATGATATTATGAAAATAAATTCATTATCAAAAATTTTACAAGCCTATTTAACATTTTACAATCCATTCATTAAAGCTGATGTTACGAATTAAATTGAACAGTTTTCTTTTCGACACTGAGTGTCATAAAATCATTCATAGCACAAGAATTTTTTTTCCTATATAAAGAAAGAAAGATAAATGTCCTTGTCTTGTTTTTTTTTTTTTTTTTAATAAATGAAGTCATTCAATAAATTGTATATGTAAAGAATAATAATATTTTGAAGATCGTTGAAACTATTCTGATAATAATATGTCATTCAAAAATATCCGAGTCTATCTCTTATCCAATTGATTTTTCTTTAGTGTCATACGTGATGAGAGAAGAAATTGTTTGTGTTTTGTGAATCATGCTTTTAGAAAAGAGCTTAACAACGTTTGAATAGAGTTTATTTCAAATGTCAACATTTTATGTAAAGCGATGAATTATCGGTTGACAAATGCGTGACTACAGGAGACAGGAGTTACTGAGGCCAAGACTACAAGAAAAACATATACCAAAACCGAAATTGGACTATGACTATGACGGATGGATACAAAAGTCATCGAGATCGGATCAAAAAAACTTGGTCTCTCACATCTCTAATCATAAGACATATAATGAATTGCAAAAGACAGTATGTTATTTCTTTAAAAACTTTGTATGAATGTACTATTATAAATTATTTAGAATACTTTTCCATACGAGAAGTGCAATTGAAGTTTCTTATGTTCTATTCGAAGGATAATATTTTGTATTTTGAAAAATCTTCCAACATTCAATGATGTTGATTGCATTCTGAAAAGAATGAAAGTACTTGTTCGATTATTATTTTCTTTAGATTTTTTTTTTCAAATAAAAAAAGTAATTCAAGTAAATCTGACATAAATCAGAAAAGATTAATTTGAAAGTACGCCTCTGTCTTAATATTTTACTGAAAGTTACTT